ATATGTATGTATAATACCCATTTTGAATACATACAAAATACAATCTATAATGAAGGAAGGAGCTGGAGTAGCGTGGATGAAAATGTGGTGAATCGTGGTAACTTAGGGTTACTCACAGGTAATTAACTTGTGGCGGAAACGTAAAGGTTTTTTTATAGGACGTTAACCTCTTGTTATATTTTCTCAATCCATAGACCATATAGAAAATAGAGGGAGAAAGGCAAACATAGTGTTAATCCTAGCTGGACCTGGCACCCAGACCACTTCATTAAGCTGAAGTGGTCTGGGTGCCTATAGTGGTCTTTTAACTTTTCTTTTCGACCACCTTATATTTTACTTTCATTTCATACACTTATGTCCTTCCTTGTGCTTTCTGATTGCTGCATAGCTCCCCCCACCACCTCCTGCTATTCAAGGGTAGTCTTAACACTTCTTTTTAGTTTGTTTACTGACAATATACATTATACTGTATTGTACCCTAACATAAGTTAGCCATTTTCTCTAAAACGTCCCTCCTATTTCTGGAATTAAGGATGATGCTATTGCAGTCCTGCTAATCTTATTCGGAGGTGTCTTAGAAAATTCTTTGTTTATCTTTTATAATATAAAAATCCAGTCCATAGTCTGTTTACTATATATTTGTGAAGCTACCAGTTTACGTGCAATTTAATCATTGTTGTATAGATGACTACATTATTTTGCTGTCTTTTGTCCTGTCTACAAATTGAACAAAATAAAATAAAAACTACAAGCTGTAAGTAATTCTCAAAGGTGTAAATTGAACTGACAGTTCTCCTTTAATTCCACTCCACCACACTGCCTGTATACCTACTATTAAATCATCCATTTTGCTTTGGGAGCTAAGCTTGCTAAAGACCATTTTCTGGTTGAAATGGTTCTTTGTTTATTGCACCAGAAGAAAGAGCCGCATGTTTATGAGGATGTCCTGGGCTGCTTCTCTTATTTCTCAATTAAAATTAACTGATTTTTTCAAGACGAAGATGATTCTTATTTTAACTCGATTCAGTGAATAGGATTTGCTTTAAAACACACACTTGTAAAATTGAGACCTCACCTGATAAAAGGAGAGCCGGGGATACGTACCATGGTGGTCCTGCTAGGCAGATTATAACACACACGTGAAACTAGACAAATCAAGGATGCATTTAAACAAATGGCTCATTGCCATAACTATTATACAATACATGTACATTCTATTTCATTTTAAAATACCTTCATTATTCATTTATGAAGTATCTTGGTTGTTTCATTTTATTCAGTTTGCCTCTTTGATTTAGAAAAAAACCTTTTTTCTGTTTTCAAAAAATAAAATGTTAACTAAGAGACTTAACTAATTCAGGAGTCTCTCATTCTGGTCTAAGGAGTCTGATCTCATCTCATAAACTCTTGTCCAGCGGAGTTTATGGGATATGTATTCCAGCCCCCAGCTGCAGTTATACTCAATAGATCTCATTTGTGGAAGTGGTGATTAAGTTTCAGTAGCCATTCGGCAGTTGCTATTAGTTTATTGACCAACCCATTCCTCACAGTTTTGTCAGTGACGCTGTACACCGCTTTCTCCCAAGGGACACACCACTGCCAAAATAAAAAATAAATTAAAAAATCACCTTTTAGTAGATACCCCAAATTAAAATTTGCTTGCATTAAATTATGCATTTTTACACTGGGTGTATATCTAAAAACCGCTTGCAAAAGCTGCAGGTCTCTTGTTTGCTGCTTTTGCAAGCCCTCCCCTTTTAACCCCACCCAGACTTTCTGTGACTGTCCAATCACAGACTTCCCAATGCAGCTCAATGAGAAGTCTTTGCAAGGCAGGTGCTCTGAGCAATTGCTGTATCTTGAGTTTAGCTCCACTGAGCAAACCAAACCAGGAAGTAAAAGGACATGTATGATTGAAAGCCAGGGGAGGTGTTACCAGGTTAAATTATAAAAGTTCTATTGAAATCTGCAATTTTTGCAAAACGAAAAAAAAGAGGACACACTCTTCACACAGATATTTAGCAAGCTAAAGTTTTAGCGGTCTGAAGTGTCTCTTTAATACACATATAAGTAGCCATGGCTGGCTCAGGACCTAATTAAAGCTGCATGCACAAGTTGGATTTGGACAAAGAAGTATGAAGTAAAGCTTACTGCTTTTATGTCAGTCACTGAAAAGGCAGGCTTATAGTTGCAGTGATGTTTGCAAATCAGTGCAGATATAACTGCAAAAACGCTTGGTCCTTTACACTGCGCCTCACAGTCAATGTAGAGAAAGCAAGAAAAAAAGAAACAATGATTCTATTTCTTTAACTCATTTGCAATTTGTGCCCTGCCTCTGCCTTAAAGGGACTCTCCAGTGCCAGGAAAACATATCTTGCAGTGCCCCTCTCCCTCCAACCCCCCATCCCATGTTGCTGAAGGGGTTAAAACCCCTTCAGTGACTTACCTGAATCCAGTGCCGATGTCCCTCGGCGCTGGGTCAGGCTCCGCCCGCGCTCCTCCTCCGCGCGCGCATTAGACCTCCCTATAGGAAAGCACTATTCAATGCTTTCCTATGAGGATTCCGGAGACGCTGGAGGTCCTCATGCAGAGCGTGAGGACGTCCAGCGTCGTTTAAAACACTTTTCGTGTTCTAAGAACACGAAGGTCCCTCTAGTGGCTGTCTAATAGACAGCCACTAGAGGAGGACTTAACCCTGCAAGGTAATTATTGCAGTTTACAAAAACTGCAATAATTACACTTGCAGGGTTAAGGGTGGTGGGAGTTGGCACACAGACCACTCCAATGGGCAGAAGTGGTCTGGGTGTCTGGAGTGTCCCTTTAACTGAACTATTACTTATTTTGTTGAATTTTTTTATATAAATTTTGTTTTTTAAAAACATAAATATTAACACTAGCTAATTACAATGTTTTATTTGGTGGTGTAGTTTCCAGTGAAGTGACAGATCCGTTATATGTTGGATTTAGTGTCCCTTTAACTCTATACATGAGAGTGGATGCCTGCAACTCGCATTATGTCCATATGTGTGTGTTCATGTAGACAGTACACTCTCTGTCTCTTCTCACTGCCCTATCCACCCAGCTTGCTGAAGTCCCTCACGTCTTTCCTTCCCCCACTTTTTTGACACTTGATGCCTCTATTATATACATGCTTTGTAAAAGCAGCAGCTGTCTGCTGCCTCAATCTCATACTTCCATCTATTTTCTTTCCCTAGCAAGCATCACACAAGAAGACCATTCTGACCCCTCCCTTACCACCACCCTCCTCCTTATTAAACATAACTTTATCTGGATCCTTGTCGAATGGTGAAAGAAATATTTCTTTCCTTCTCAGTAGAGGAGCAGAGGTTAAACATTCTGGATTCCATGTTTAGGGATACAGATACTTTTTAGAACTAAGTTTATAGACACAAGACTTTTTGTTTTTATCTTGTATTCGCTCTCCAGTGTCTTTTTCTTTTGTTTGACACGAACAATACATGTCTTCTTGGAGGCTGCTCCAGCTACCCACCCCCTGAACAGATGTCAGGGTGGGAATAAAGCTCTTCCCTCAGGACCACTTCAGAAGGGGAGGTGAGATATTAAATTGTATGAGAAGATGTTTTGGAGTGTTTTTGGAGGATGGTAGATATATGTATCTAATTGCAATCGCTTCACTAATTACAATTCTTTCTATCTGATTATCTCATGGGTCATGCATGGTGTGGCCATCTACATGTGCTTCTCTAATGAGTAGATTGCATTTTGATGCTTACTTCTTCTTTATAATCTCTTGGAACTGTGAAAGGTCTTGTACAGATGACATGTGCCGCAGGATCTTCTAATAACAACAGAATAGTAACAGAAAACCCGGTTCCTTGGGTAAGTACTCCTTTAATTCTTTGTCTCTAGCAGATGTGCCTTCCACACTATTCTTTTTATCTTTCTGATTGTATCTCACGTCGTCTTGACTCTTCCTCTTCAGACTTCTTTTCTCTAGTCTATTGCATTCTAGTGTTTGTCATTTCTGTTTACATTATTCACTATAAATTGCATTAAGGTCACACATATTTACAAAGTTTGAACCTCTATGCTTTTGGAAGGACAAAGCGCAATAGCCCAACAGCGTTATTCACCGAAAGTAGAATACAAGGTGAATTCAGCATTAATTTAACATTTATGGTTAAAGTAGCTAAACGAAGCATAGATGAGTTAGTGAATTTTTTACCTTAAATTTAAATTCTCACTTTAGCGAGTAAACCAGTCCGGCTACTTCACTTGTTCATTTTAATTTCAGGGGAAGGGATAGCGGACGTCATAGAACATCTACGAATTCCATGGCGAAGTGGTTTAAAGAGTATCTCAGTTTTGGGAGCAGGAGATCTCCACCGCAGCCACCCAAACCAGATTACTCTGAAAGCGAAATTATCCGTGCATACAGAGCACAGAAAAATCGGGATTTTGAAGATCCATACGAGGAAAAGGAGCATGTGTTGGAACATGTAGAGTCCCCAGCTAGGGTTGCTGGGTTCCAAGTAACAATCCTGCCCCCTAGACAGAGACTTATCAAAGTGGAGCAGACAGAAAATAACTGGAGCAGGAGGCCTAGACTTGGAGCAGCCACTGAGGATGAGGACATGATGAATAAGGTTAGTCAAAGTTGCTACTGATTTTGTCGTATAGGAAAAACACTTGTGTTAATAGTTTTGACAGTAGTCCACCTATTGTGTTTATGATATGAACATCAAGAAAATTAACCATTGAAGTGGCCACACAGAGCCCACTGTAGTGGTTATGGTGTCAAGAATGCCATGGCTCCATCGCACAGTAAGATGTCAAACATGCGCCACATCAGTTACAGTCTTCTTCAGCAGGAGTAGCCAGATTGCTCCATAGAGGTGGGTGCCATGCTATACTCCACAGAGACCTCTGGTTTCTCCTGCAGTGTGTTGTAGTGGTTATGGTTCTTTGAGTGTTCCTTTAAATGCATAGATAAATATATATATTTTTTTTATTTCACTTATATGGAACCGGTGAGAAAGTTGTATATGCATTATGGATATGCTACAGACGCTCTGTTTTTGAGGGCTGCCATCAGTGTATACAAGCAGTCCCCCCTTGTAAGTAGCCTGGTGCTATGATGGGGCCCTGTTATGACCTTATGCTCTCCAATTATAGTGATATCATGGGATTATATTAAAGCAGCTACAAATTACCAATCCCATAATGAGATTTTCATTGATTGTGCTTGTGTAGTGAAATCACAGAATACTTAGATTTGGAGAGGTCTGACCAGTTAGCACAAAATGCAATATAACAGCATTCTTAAGAGTACGATGTCTACTTGTGGACTTGGAATATCTGAGTGTGGAATGGTTTGGAATAAAGCAGATGTTTAGGTAGACATATAATTGGTAATAAGGCAATGCCATGTCAAATTGTCATCTCCGGCATCGGAAGCAGTCGTTTATTTTTATTGATTTTATTAAGTTTTTCTGAAACTGCTCACTGTGCTCTTAATATTAACAGACAGTCATTACGTGCTGTGGCTGTTTACCTCCTAGTGAGTCATGAAATTTTGTGACTTGCCAAGCAAGGTGTGAAGGACGTCCAATGCGCAAGGTTCCACCAATGTCCTTCTGAAGAGTCCACTTACCGAAGACAGGCAAACACAGGAAGCCTAGATGGCGGCCTGTTACGTCCCCTCTAAATATTTCAGGTGGCGTGGGGGGAATGATTTCTGCTGGTGTGAGCAATATTATCCTGATCCGGAGACAGAATTCCATTATCCCCAGAGTCTCTCCAAGGTCTTAGCAAGTGCACATGGATGCATTTTAACTCACTCCAATAGAGAGAATAAAATGTGCTCAAAATATTACATAATGTTTGTTTGCAATTTGGTTTATAGATTGAATGATATGCATTTGTTTTTTGAACCACCTCCCTAAATTATTTTGTGAATCACAGAACAATGATAGATGATTATATTGTATTAATTATCTAATGTAAAGCAAAAAATATTGCATTTAAATACTAAACAACACAATTAAGATGCACGGTTATAGCTACAGAGAGAGAATGAGACAAAAATAAATATCGGATGACAAATTTCTCCAAAGTAAAAATAAAAAATACATATATTCACTAAACTAGGAATTGACTGGTGAATTTAAATTTTACTCCAAAATCCACAGATTGCATTAATCCCTCGGGTCAGCTATGATTTCAGGACAGCTATTTTTTAAATAATATTTTACATTCTTTGGTCAATTCTGACAATTTACAGTTTAGTCAATAACAATAAAAACTGTTGTCACCAGTAATATATGCCTGGTTACAAAATGAAAAAAGGACTACCACTACTTAATGATCCTCTAGCATGTAAGCTGATTGAGCAGAGCCCTCCACCTCCACCCCCTCTGTTCCTGTACGTCCAGTTGTCTAGTTACAATTACATGTCTGTTAGTCTACCCATTGTACAGCGCTATGGAATCTGATGGCGCTATATAAATTATAAAATAATAATAAAGACCATCTATTGCGGCAATCCTTTCTTTTTTCAGTGAGTTTCCACAGGCTGCAATTCATTCTGCCCTCCACTGCTGCTAACACATATATGTAGTTCTTGCCCTGTTTCTGTAATTGGTATGCGCTGTGGAATATGTTGGCGCTATATAAATGCTACTGATAAATAAATAATAAAATAAGACTAAATAGGATGAAGGCAGATAGACTGAGCTATTCTGTAACCCCTTGTTTGTTTATTTATGTGCAGGTCTCAATTGGCAGTGAATATTCTGACCCATTTGATGTAAAGAATAAATGTATCTCAGAAAATGGAGAAATGGAACATTCTAGTTATATGGAACCGTATGAGAATGATGGCGAAATTGCAGGTGTGTGAGATAGAACGGCTTCCGTCTTGGAATTCAAACTATCAGTCTTGTCATAACAGTAAATTAATAGGAAATATTGCTCGTTATGACCTATCCTCAGATTTTCACAACAATAATATATAAATTGACTTTTGAAAGGGGAACTAATGAATGTAAATTAATAGTCGGGCCATTAGTGCAAGCCAACGGCCATAGATAAGACAGACATGGAATTAATGAGGAATCACTCAGAGATTTGTCTCCTGTAGTGTGACCTTTTAATTGAAGATTATCACTACAGGCGCATACAGTATTGTGTATTGTAAATGGACCCTATTCAAACAGGCTTAGAGGGGTTTAGTTGTCACTTTGATGCACAGTGACAGCTTGAATAAAAATTGCAAAGACAGGAAACCAGTCCAAGGGTTTTTACTGCCCCAGGCAAAAATCAATTTTGCTATCCCTAGTGTATCCCACACCTTCCCTGAGGCTTTTTCGCATTTCTTTTGTCTGTGTTTTTTCCCCTCTGACAGCTTTGTGAGGTGTGTCTGGATTTTGTATTTTGAGGTAATGTGTAATTGTGTGGTGGGCTGCATGTGGCTTAATGCCTAAAAAAATTTTTTTTTAAAGTTGGTTGTCTGGTAGTATGAATCAGTGTGCTGGGCGGGTAACCCCACTGCAGTTCTTTGACTCATGGAACAATGAAGCACTACAAACTGCGAGTCACATTTTTCTTTACAATTGCATTGTGGTAATGCCAGCTTTGCATGCAGGCTCACAAATATATAGAGTTTATTTAGAAAGGATTTGGGCTTTTGTGTGAGTAGAATCACTACCGTTTATTTATAATACTTAAAGAGTTATTTATTAAAGGAACACTATAGCGTCAGCAACACAAACATGTATTCCTGAAACTATAGTGGTAAAATGACTATTTAGATCTCCTGGCTCCCTCTTTTTAGTTTAGAAAGGTGGTTTTACTCACTTTTATTTCCAGCACCGCTGCTCCCGCTCTGCCTTGACTCCATGGCTCAGAAGATTAAATTTGACGATCTCAGCCAATCCAGTGCTTTCCCAGAGGAAATCATTGGGAGGTTATTGTGCATGCGCAGCAAAACGCTGCACTGCGCCAATCACCATCTCCTCATTGAGAATAATTTAATTATTGCATCTCTATGGGGAACGTTCTGCGTGTTCATGCAGAGTGTGTGCAGCACTGAGATAAGAAGTACCTCTAGTGGCCTTTTGAGTGACTGCCACTTGAAGTGGTGTTACTAGACTGTAATGTAAACACTGCATTTTCTCTGAAAGGCAGTGTTTACATTGAAAAGCCTGCAGGGACTGACTATACTCACCAGAACTACCTCATTAAGCTGCAGTTGTTCTTCTGACTATAGTGTCCCTTTAAATTCAGGATTGCCAATAATTTACACACAGATTGGATTAAATAAAGTTTAATTAGTAACAAAATGCAAAGCTGCCTGTTGTTGAGACATTTTGTAGTTGCAATTCAGGGCAATCTGGTCCTGTTGTAAAATAAGCTGAATTAATAAACAACGTATAGGAGATTCAGTAGTTTTAAATTTGTGAGTTCAATTAGAAAAAGTCAATTGAACTCCCAATAAATAAATGAGTTCCTCTGACTGATTATGCAGACAGCAAGTATACAGTAAAAACAGTATAAAGAAATAAGGGGGCATCCTCGTGTCCTGCCTGGAGGGTACAGATTACATTTAATTAGCAGGAATAATAATCAATAGTTGCCTCATGTGATGTGCAATGTATTTGGAGCTATATTTCATTAACACAGGTGTCCTAGTTTTGTTTTGGTTTTTTGTTTGTTTTAAAGAATGCCTATTTAAGTGCTCAGAAATAAGTATTTTATATTATAATGGAATTTTACAAGTAGCAGGATTTGGACAATGCTGTATGGGCACCCCTTTGAACTATGGATGGTGGCACAATTAGATGCTTTAGATCTCTGAGAATAGGATAGATACCAAGGCTCACTCGTATTTAAAGGGGCCGAGGAGAACACCACTAACTAACTTTAACACCTTACCTCTTGCACTATTGTTGAGATAAATTTGAAGGAAACATGTGAGGGGAATAGGAGGGACTCCCAGCTTTTTTGGGGGGGATCCTTGAGACACCAGCATTAATTATACCTTTCCCGAGGGGCTCGGGAGTTGTGTAATATTTTTAACCCGTACATGTGATGTTAAGTGAAAATTTAATTCCTTGGTGTTTTGATTATTTATTTTAAGTGCTTGGGCAAATTTTATTATGCATCTATTGTGAGCTAGCTTGAGATTTTTTCAAATAGTAAATATCATGCAATTCACCTTAAATTCTACCTAGTTGTAGCTGAACGTAAATATTGTGAAGCAGAAATTAATGTGCTGCATGAAAACTGATTGGCTGTATTTATTTAATATGTATTTGTTCCTCAGGTCAACTTTCTTCAGCAAAAAGTGAGGTAGAGAGAGGGTTACAGCTGTATGACTGTCCTTATGAAGAACGATATCGGGGAATTTTTCAGGACAGTCGTCAGCCATCAGATGATGAAAGGCCTGCTGATGAATATGACCAGCCCTGGGAGTGGAAAAAAGAGGGCATAAACAGAGCATTTGCAGGTACAGCAGGCACTAGAACAGTATTTATTTTATGTAGCCACAATAATATCTCTCTAAAACAGAATAAATAGTATATCAGAAAAAAGTAAACCATGAAAATGTACTCAAAAAAATTAACCACAATTACCACCACAAAAATTCAGTGACAGTTATTTAGTGTGATCTCAAATGAATACATAGACTTTAAAAGAATCTCAGCAAGAATCCAAAGGGGGTGATGTCGTGTCCATTAATGTGAAATTATGATGTCTATTCCAGTGCAATTTGAGGGCTCGAGTTGGCAGCACAGTTCTCCCACAAGGAGACATCTCCTTCTACATTCCAAACCCAGGAGTCCAGGTTCTCACAATCTTCAAAGCACATCCACATCCTCCATCCATAGCTTTGAGAAAGAAAATGGGTCCACCTCAAAAGAAAGATTAAGTGCCTTAGGTGAGCCCAAGGACATCAGTCTGCCACTACACAGACAGGCGTGAGTATTTGTGTGGGAAGTAGTCAGTATAAGTCAAAATGTATGTTGGTTTTCTTATAGCACTGTCTTTTGTCCCAGGTGGTACCATGGAGCTCTGAACCATGTAGACGCGGAGAAGCTGCTGCATGAGGTGGATCTGGGAGGTTTTTTGTTGCGTACAGAAAATGAGAGTGTTCATTATCTCTCTATAAGGTGGGTTTCATAAACAGAATCTAACTTGTACTTGTACCCCAAGCACAAACATATTCTGACGAATCAGCACTCAAAACCTTTCCTAATTTGCTAAAGAGGTACTCTAGGCAAAATCAAATATATTTGTATTTTTTGAGCCATTTACATTGAATCGTAATATAAAAAATGCCCAGTTTTAATTTTTTATAAAAAAGTATAGTTTTTAAACTCACCTTCCATCCAGCACCACAATGTCCTCTTCGTCAAGGTTGATCCAAACACATTAGGGTCATCAAGCTTCAGGAATCATTTTTCACTGACATGCATATTATCGATAGCAATGAGGACACGAGACATGTGCAGGTCAGAGCACATGCTGACAATCAAACATTAAATTAACAGTCTTTATACTCACTCTCAAGGAGTAGCATATGCACACTGTTGTAACCAACAGAATAGATTAAGAACTAGGAAGTGTAATTCCTGGTTTGCTGACTTACATGGCTTCAAAGTCCATCTTTAAAATACTTGTAGGGAGCATTGGAGCATCGTTAACACCCTCAATAAAATTAAGTGGTTATGATACCTAGCATATGCATTTAAATATTGCACATTAAAATTGAATGACTGTTAATCACATATTGTTGTATATAGTTATATATTTTGTTTGTGTTCAAGGGGATTTCACAGCATCCTTCATGTTAAGGTGGCATGTATAGAAGATGGCCGTTTCCAGCTCGTTGACAGTGGTCCATCCTTTCCTTGTGTTTTCGATCTGGTCCAGCATTACATCCAAAGTCCACTTGTTGTACCAGGAGAGGAACAGTTGTGCCTTCAGTGTCCAGTGTCTGTAGTAGAAAGGTGACAACAGTAGACCTTCACAGAAAATTCCAAATTTATAATCTGACAACTGTGCCCGGTGGCTATTTCAGTTTTCCGTTTCCACTGGATTGTATAGGTGATAACCTGAAATCTCACCCAGTGAATGTCACATGGTGCTAGAGGAGAAAATGAATATATTATCACGTTGTATAAGCTTGCCTTGTTAATACATTTGTCACATACTGTGAAATAAAAAAAGAAAAATACTGATCTATTAACACCGTGAAGCTTCTCATTTCATTTAGGCGTTTTGAGATTTAAATTTTTTATTTTTTTTATGGTGGGCTATTATGCAAATTTTTCTTATACAAATTCTTCTGTTTGCTATATGTCCCCAAACATACTTGAGACTGTTCCAAATTTTCCACATTGGCCTGAAATGAAATTTTGAGCTGCACCGCATTCATGGATTGTGAGAATGTGTTTCCGTGTTTGTCATTGCCATCAGGGCAGAATATTCTTAGCCAGCTGTAACAGACTGAAAATTATGTATACAAAGGAATTGTGTATCACACATTTGTGTTGCTTAATTAATTGGCAACACACGACACCCAGTGATGCTTAACTCCTGTTTAAATGATGCAGCTTCCCAATTCATCACCCCTTTTATCAGCAAATATGTACACAATATTGGGATTCAGCTAAGCATCTACAAAGGAATAAATAAACAGCACATAGTGAAGTATATAAAAATAAAATTAATTCTGCGCTTTTAAATCTTTCTGTGAGTGCAAATTTAAAGGCGCAGAATTTATTTTATTTTGATATACTTCACTATGTGCTGTTTATTTATTCTTTTGTAGCTGCTTAGTTGAATCCCAATATTGTGTATATATTTGCTGTAAATTATACATATTTTGTATATGTGACGGAGCTCCTGTACTTCGACCGAGTACCTCCACCAAGTCTGCTTCCTAGCTGCCACAAGAGACTCTGGAGTGTTTCAACTTGACTAGGATCCCTCCGGAACTCTTCCACTCGACGAGGCTGCAGCTCTCTTCTTCGAGGCAGGTATTGTCCCCCTGCCTCTCCCTCTTCAGCTTTTTTCCCCAGGCAGGTTTCCATACTTCTGCCTACACTGTGAATAGCTCTTACTTTTTAAAGGCACTCACAACTCTCAGGCTTAGCTCTTTTGCACGTGTCCCGGGCAAGCAACAGAGAACATGCAGCCAGCCAACAGGTCTGAAGACTGTCATTGGGATTTCTGAACAAATCCACACAGGACACAATTTTTTTATTTTTTGACAAGGATTAGCCTTTGGGGACTAGTCCTTAAACATGTGGTGAAAAACATTTAAAATACAAATATATTGAGCATTAGCAAATGAGCAATTATAATTAATACATGAACTATATAAGAGAATGACTAATAAAGTGTTTATGAATATAGATAACTAAGAATGAATTCAGTTTGAGAGAAAATTCGAACTTTGTCTGTCATGCAAGCCAGCCTCCCTCACTTTTTCAAAGGCAGTGAACTTGTAGTAGAGTTTCTGTAAGTTCAGGAGGTTTAATAGTATGATGGGAAAATGCAGTACGTGACTCTGCCATACAAGTACTTGGACAATTAAAAGGAGAACTAATGCATCATCGTTTGATATGGTTCCACACACTAGGTTAGTGTTCAAACTAAAAGAAATTGATCTAAATGTACATTCTTCTTCTTGGGTAGAACATTAAATATATATCACACAGTTGTCATTGACAATAATGGTAAGTGGTGTCCCTCAGGGTTCTGTTCTGAGCCCACTTCTATTCAATATATTTATAAATGATTTAGAAATAGGCACTGAAAATTAAGTTTACAAATGACACAAGACTAAGTACCGTAATACAATGTGAGCAGGATATTGCTTTTCTGCAGAGGGATTTAAATTGGGGGACCGGACACTCAAATGGCAAATTAAATTTTATGTAGATAAATGCAAAGTTTGGGGCAAATAATGCAGAAGCAACTGACACCATGAATGGCAGTGGATTAGTGATAGGAACACGTGTGAAGAATTTGGGAATTCAAATAGACAGCAAGGTATTATGATGCATAAAAAGGTAATAAATCTCAGGATGAAAATATAATTTTGTCTTTCTGATCAATGATAAAACCACAACTTGAATATGCCGTGCAATATTGGGCACCTTATTTAAAGAAGGATATTATGTCATTAAAAAATTAATAAGGGAAATGAAAGATTTTAGCTATGAAGAAAGACTAATACATTTAAATGTTTAGCCTAAACAAAAATGTCACTTCAGGTGGGATATGATAAAATTATACAAATATATTCAAGGTCAATACAAACCATTGTCTGGAAATCTATTCATAAGCAGGAATATTCATAGAACAATAGGTCACTCATTTAGGCTGGAAGAAATTAGGTTTAGTCAAATGAAAGGGTTCTTTTCTTTAAGAAGAAAAAGGTTGTTGAATTCTCTGCCTGAAGAGGTGGTTTTATCAGAGTTTGCACAGATCTTTAAACAGCAACTGGATGAATTATTGAAAAACATAATATTCATGGATATAATTTTTTTTTAATTCTTTATTTATAATTTTTTATTTTGTTTACAAACATTAATATAAAGTGTGAGGTAATAACATTTTTACGGTACATTACAGGGTAGTGTACAATTTGGTGTTGGGAAGGTTCTTTGGTATGCTTTGTTCGGCTCTGTTGGGTGATATAGTGGGCTTGAGAGAATGCGGCGGGAGAATGTCCCGCTGGTATTTACTTTTTGTTTGAATATTTTTATTGTTATCACAACATAAATGCGGACATCCGACAAGTTATTATTGAGTCAAGTATTCACCTACGCAGAGGCGTATATCTTGGTACATGGAAGTAAATGCATATATTCACCTGCGCAGAGGCGTGTATATCAGATCATGTGCATAATAATATATTGTCTTCTGTTTTGTTGCGTGTGTTTCGTAGAGTATGAATTTATCGTGCTCTATTATAAGTCTACGGTGCCCATGCAGTAGCCTATCATCTCACTAGTGTTATCCTAACAGAATAACGGATGGTGCCATCAGGTTGTATAACCTATATACTGCGATAATCTATATGACTGCACCCGGATAGATCCTATAATCATATAAATCCACCATCATTAACTGAAGCCTGCAGATATCATTAACTCAAGCCTGCAGATAATCTGATGACGGCACGTGTCAACGAGGTGGTATGTTAAGAGACAGGCATTGCGGCCCATGTCTGTGTATGTTGACAGGTCTTAACCATATAGTTCTGTTATGGAAGCTGTAATACCTAACTTTAACCTTAAGCCCAATGGGGCAATGTGACCGAACAACATGGTCGTTTTTATACTGAGTTAATAAACGTAGATACCTAAATTTCGTCATGGGTCGCCATTCTCAACAGCTGAATATCCTGTGCATGCTGCATGGGTTAAAGCCATATATTTATTTAATGCATTAAGTAAAGATAGCGTAGTCATGTCTTCGTAAACTATAAATACATCAACTTTTGGGCAATGGCATGCTATGCTCAACTTCTGGGTATCTATTCTGCGTGCGCTGGCTGCGAAAGTTAGGGTCATACAGTTACATGTTGCGTTATTTAGAGAAAGCTTAAACATGACACATTTACGTTACGTATAAATGGCAATGGTAACAGAGCAATCAGACATTCAAGAAATTAGAAATGAGAGCCCTGTAACAGCGCCGAATTTAGCTTTAGCAGGTAGGGCAGCTGCAGTCTTATTAGATTTAAAAAAGGTGTTTAACATAAGCAATAAAAATAGATACAGGGTCTGCACCGGCCCCCAGTGTGAGGCCGGCACCGGGAGAGACAATGGGACACAATCTCCACTGGGTCACCTCCCCATCACCGCTCCAGACCCAGAGGAGATTGTGTCCCATTGTCTCTCCCGGTGCCGGCCTCACACTTGGGGACGGTGCACGCAGCTCCCGGCCACCGGTCCGCCGGGAGGGCTGCGCAAACCCACCCCACAGGGCTCTCAGCTTCAGGGACATGGCTCTCTGAGGACCTCCCAGACCCAGAGGCCCGGGCACTCACTTTTCCTGCGGGTCGATAGGCATCGTGGGGGGTCCATCAGGGCCCCGGCATCACCAGTGTCCGCCCCGGCCATCTAGGTCGTCTCCCCTCGGTGAGTTGTCTCCTTTGGTGCCTCTGCACTCCTCTTTCAATGATGCCCTTGAGGAGAAACCATGCCAGTGGTATGGTGCGGCTGCGTCGAATCCGCAACCTCCTATGCTTCTGTGTCAGCTTGAGTCTTCTCTGTCCCTGCCAGGATGTTTTCACCATTTAGGGGATTTCTCCTCGGTGTTAATGTCCAGTACAGCTGGTTGGCCGTCTCTTTGCCATTGCCAGTTAAGGTAGTCGGCATGGTGTCCACGCGGGGGCTACCGCTGTGGTACCTGTCTCCACCATGTGGCCGGGATATCCCCTGCCGGCAGGGGGGGAGACGGGGCCGTGCCCCGGGCCAGGGGTCTCCCCTCGCCAAGAATGCTCGTCTCTCAGCGGGTTGGCTCTGTATTGTGCCAGTTCACCGCAATGGCGGCCAGTGCTCTGAGGCCGCGTGTAGGCCGGACCCACTCCTCTCAGCCCGCCCGCCCCGCGGTCAGTTTTGTGCGGGTATCGGGTGGGGGTCGGAGCTTTCCCCCTTTCAGATGCGGCAGGTTTTGCTCGTTTGAGCGGGTTTGGGCTCTGTTTGGTGCTGTTTCTAGCGTTTTGTTGCTGGAGCCCCTGTGAATGGAGTCCAGTCGGCCCGGCCCCGCCCCCTGGTATTTACTTTTTGACCTTTGGTTCAGGTTTGGTCCTGCTCATTGGTTTGTGTTTGTCACCCTGTCTGTTGCATATTGGCGTATGTTTAGGCTTGGGTGCCTTCTTAGTCTATTCTGCTGGGTTTGGTTTCGGTCTGGTTTTGTTTGGGGTTTGTGTTTGTGGATGTCTTTGCAAAGTTGTTTGCAGTTGTGCTTTCGTTGGACATGTTGTGTGTTTCATTGGTGTGGTTCCCGATAGGTGTGGTGTTGTGGGATCATCGTGTCTCCCCGGCTGGTTGCATTTTTGGTTCTTGTATTGAGGGGGAGGTGGTGTTGCGGAGCTGCTATTCGTGGAGTTGTAATAAGTTGTTGTCTCCAGCCTGTGGGGTATAAGGTGGGTGGTAGGGTTGTGTTAGGTCGTGACGTAGTTCAGGTGAGTGTGGGGTGGAGAGAGCGGCGTGTAGTTTGGAAGATGGTTGGGTATCACAAATGTACTCGGTCCCCTGGGGGGGTAAAGGTTGGGGGTATAAGGGGATGCAGTTTTTTGTGTAAGGAGTGCTTGTCATGGGGTTCTTGTTTACTGGTTTTCCAGTCGTGTTTTTGCAGATGTGGGTTCCCATGGTAGGGAGGTGTCTCCAGTTATCCATGGGTCCCATATTCTGTGGAAGGTTTTAGGCGTGTCCTGGGGGTGGGATGTTAGCTTGTCCAGGTCTAGTCCATTTTGTATTTTTTTAACTAATGCCTGTTGTGTGGGTATGCGTGGTGTCATCCAGACCATCCAGACCTCTCCTATCGCCCTGCATGTGGCTAGTGCTACTCTTGCTATCAATTTGTTTTCTGCTCTGGTGAATATGTTTAATGGTTTGGATAGAAGTAGTGCCCATGGGTCCGGTGGGCAGGGTTTTGTTAGTATTCGGGTTAACAGGGATGTTTTGGATTTCCATAGCGGTTGGAGTTTTGGGCAGGTCCACCAGCAAGGGTAGAATGTACCTGTCTCTCCACACAGTTTCCAACATAAGCTGGATGGAAGGTGGTGAATGGCTGCTAGTTTTTTAGGTGTATAGTACCAGTGGAAGAGCATTTTGTACGCTTGTTCCTTATGGAAATGGATGATGTTGCTTCCCATATGTCCGCCCAGTCGGTGGCCTCTTCTGGGGGTCTTAAGTCTTTTTCCCAGGCTGCGATGTATGGCAGGACTACCTGTGTGGGGTGTGTCGCTAGCCCTATGTATAGATCCGATATTTGGCCTTTCGTGGTTGGGGCTGCGAAGCAGTCTTTCTCGAATGCTGTGCACGGAGCCTTGCCTGCTTGTTTGATGCTAGACAAGGATGCAAAGCTTTGCAGTTGCCTATATCTGAAGTAATTGTACGTGGTTAAGGATGCTACTGCTGGGATATCCTTATTTTCTAGGATTTGGTTGTTGAGGTTGCCTAGTCTCTTGATTTCTTTTTGTTCGAATCTGGCAAAGTGTTTTACATCGAATCCTGGTGGGAACATTCTGTTCTGGTATATTGGGGTCATAGGGGAGAGGTAAGAGGAGAGGTCATATTTGATGTGCAGTTTGTCCCATAGGTCTAAGGAGTGGGTGATCATGGGAACAGTTGGTGGTTGGAGAGGGTGTTTTTGTCATGGAAACCACATGTATAGGGAGGGGTGGTCCCAGCCGAAAATGGAGTGTTTAATGTCCACCCTTTATTTCTGAAGGGTGGTGGGTGCCACTGTTGGATTTGTGCTAGGTGGGCTGCATGTATGTATGTCAGAAAGTTCGGTAGGTCCAGGCCCCCTGATTTCTTGGGGACATATAGTGTGTCTCTTCTGATTCTGGGTTTGGAGCCATTCCAGATAAATTTAATGACTGTGGCCTGTAAGGTCTCTTGCTTACAGAACGGGATAGGGAGCTCTTGGAAGACATAAAGGAGCCTCGGAAGGAGGTTCATTTTAAAGGAGGCAACCCAACCAGAGATGTTTAGGTTGTCCCAAAGTAGGTCTGCGTGTGCTCTTTCCAATAGGGGGGTATAGTTTGTATGGTATAGTGTGTCCGTGTCATTGGTGAGTTTAATGCCTAGGTAGGCAATGGAAGGTTCGCATATTCTGAGGGGGAATCTGTCTTGCAGTTGTTTGAGAGTAGGTTCGTCGATGTACACAGAAGGAGTTCCGACTTCATTAAGTTTAGTTTATAGCCTGGTATTCTCGAGTACTTTTGGATTAGGATTAGCAGGTGTCCTATGAATTTGATTGGGCTTGTCAGCGTCAGGAAGACATCATATGCATAAGCTGATAATTTATAAGGCTGTCCCCTCACTGTGACTCCCTCTATCTCCGGGCTTGTCTGGATCGCCTCCAGAGAGGCTCCAGGGATATCGCAAATTTGTCATTTTGGTTTCGTGTGCATCCTTTCTATGGTCTGTGGCCTGCTGTGTGGGGGTCAGATGTCTTTGTGCTAATGCTGTGTGGGGGTCAGATGTCTTTGTGCTAATGCCTGTGCCCCCCTGGGTGCATGGTTCTGTTTCTGCTTAGACCCGTATATGTGTGTCTAGGTATGTTCCCGTGGTCCGTGTTGTGTGAGCTATGTTCCCTTGGGGGTCGCCTCCCTGTCTGATTCTGAGGGTGCTGTAGGAAAGGTTTACGGCTATCTCTACTGTCCCTTTCCCTCCTCTGAGTACTCTGTGGGATTCCATCCTCCCCCTCCACCCGGCATAACATAGCATTGGGGTATAGATTGAAAGCTGGAGAGCGGGGAGGGAGAGGGAATGTGGACAGACAGGGTGATTAATAGTATAGTTAGCAGAGAGAAAGGGTGTAGGTCAGCTTATCTTGTGAAAGTCCCGTATTCTTCTTCATTGTGGAGTTCATGGAGGATCTCAGTGGGTGTAGAGTGTTAATTTGCCTATGTGAATGCTTTAAAGATTAGCTCGAGTCCACTTATGTTGGTGGCGGGTGGTCACGGCGGTGCCGTTCCCCATGGTGATGGGCTTGTAGCGTCTAGGGTCGTGCCATGACAGTCTTCTGCAGCAGGGCAAAGGTGCTCCTGTTCTGGCTGTCGCGTTGCCCGGGTGGAGTTGTTGTGTGTCTAAGCTCAGGTGTGGGAGTCCTAATTGTGCTGCAAATTCTTGAGCTTCCGAGATGTCATGTAGAGTGTAGGTTTGATCGTCTTTTCGGACGATGAGTTTAAAGGAATGCCCCCACTCGTATCGGAGCCTTTGTTGAGGGAGGGCCTGTGTCAGTAGGTGGAGTTCCCGCCTTTTGCAGAGCGTGGTTGGGTCCTGATAGAATTGGACTTGGTGTCCTTCAATCTGTAATGGGGTGTCTGTGGCTGCTTTCATTAGTGCTTCCTTGACATGGAAGAATTGTAGCCGTATGATGACATCTCTCGGCTGATTCGCTACTGTCGATGGTGCCGGAGCGCTTTGTGTGCGTGGTCCAGGAGTAGCTCGGCGGGCGGGGCTTCTGGCAGTAGGCCGCAGAAGGTTTCCTGGAGTGCTGAGTTGAGCATGTCGGCAGTGATTCTGATATTGTTTCTGTGAGATCTGCTGTTTAGATCTTCTTGTGCTTCTTCTAAGCTGCGTATTTGTTCCTGGAGGTCTTGGATGGCTTTGTCATGGCTGGAGGTGGTAGCAGGAATATCTTCCATTTTGTCCTGCATTGCTGGCGTGCATCTGGTGAGGTCTTTGAGGCCTTCTTTGATGGGGTTGAGGTGCTTTGCCAGTTCCGCTGCCATATTAGCGTTGATGTCTCTCAGGAGCCCTTTCAGGTCTTGTCTGGTGACCAGGGCTGAATCCTGGCGGTGACATTGTCCGCTTGTCTCGGAGTCGGTGGTCAATTTAGGTCTTTCAGCCTTTTGGTAGATAGCTCCCTGATACCGTGGGAATTAGGAAGCTATCTACTAAGCGGCTGCAAGATGCAACTGCGGCACGAATAGGATCGGCATTTAATTCATTCAAATGAAATTCCGATCCGAACAAAAAGCACAAAATTGCATCCTAACATGAATGAACACACTGTTCACATTCTGTTAGGGCGAAATTCTGTAGTTTTGCCGGCGTCTTGTCTATATGACAGGACGTTCGGGAATACTGACAGGAAGCAACGCGAGATCACGGAGGAAAGGGTGAGTATTGTGGGAAAATGTGCAGGAAGTGGGTCAAAGTGGGTCAAGTGTAGGAAAAATACATAAGACAAAGTAGTCCCTATAGGGGCAGATAGGAAGAAACGGAGAACAGATCCAGAGACAGGAAGAGAAGAGGAAGCGATTGGGGAAAGGCAAGTTCGGTACGACAGTGCCGCTTTAATAAAACAGTGAGATTCACAGCCTACTTTGGGTCTAATATACACACTTGGTTGTGGTGGTTGTCGGGTGGTATCACTTATTAATCAGACAAATTGCATTCTAACTTGTTATAAAATGCTCCATAACAAGAGTGTGTCTATATTGTTGTTTTGTTTCTATGGTGATTGTAAAAGGTAATCTGCACTAGAAAGATGGCCTCTGATTGTATGTATCTTTAAAACATGTGATTTGTTTGCATATGAATACTACAAGAATTTTTAAAACCTAACAAAAGGTTGTATCACCAAAAATTGCTATGACGTGTACAATCTGATATCTGGTGAAATAAGCTCTCAAAAAAAGTGGGTAGAATGCCAATCTTTTACCAAACAATAATATTCAGATATACAATACAATATTGTTCTGCACTGTGTTTCTTGCTTTCCATGAACGCCTTAAAAAGATAGATTTAAAAGAAAAAGGAGAATGAATTGCATCCTGGATAATTATTGCAAATGCATATTCGCACCACTGGGCTATATAAGAGTGCTCAACTTACTGCAAACAACATCACTGTGTAACGTTAACAGACACACAGATATATATTCACTGACAAACAAAACGAAAAAGAAAAAACATCAATGTACAGAATATATGTGTGCAGATACACATTCATAGAATTCCTTTCTTTGTGGCTGCATTTTACTTGTGGTCTGTCTGTGGAACCAAAGTCATTGTGCACCCCAACAAAAAGAGTAGTGAAAAAAAGAACAAAGAAAGTATTTTTCTGGCTTTTTCTGTCTGCTTACCTATTCATGATCCAATATGCGCCCCGCATACTTTCCATAAATTTGCATTATGAAATAAATGGTGTAGTCCTGGGGCTTTAACCGGCCCATCCATCTGTGATGTAATGTGCATAAAAAACTGTGATCAATTTCATCTGATATCGCTCTATGGGTAATTGGGCAGCAAAATGTATTCGGAGTTGTTTATTAGAGTAAGAATTTAAATAGAATTTAAACTGAATTGCTGACTTATAGAATGTTCCCAGCTTGGCTGTTTTAACTTTAAAGGACCACTCTAGGCACCCAGACCACTTCAGCTTAATGAAGTGGTCTGGGTGCCAGGTCCTTCTAGGGTTAACCCATTTTTTCATAAACATAGCAGTTTCAGAGAAACTGCTATGTTTGTGAATGGGTTAAGCCTTCCCCTATTTCCTCTAGTGGCTGTCTCATTGACAGCCACTAGAGGCGCTTGCGTGCTTCTCACTGTGATTTTCACAGTGAGAGCATGCCAGCGTCCATAGGGGTTAGGGGTTAAGCCGTTCACCAACAATTCAACCCCAATCTGTGATCACTGGAATTTTTAACTCTGCAGGGCCTATCCTTGGCAGGTACATAGGGTGCACCTTGCCCAGATGGCAGAGGGTGAGCGGTGCTGCGAGGAGACGGCCAACGGCCTGTCACAGGGGACCCAGGAGGTGGCCACCTGGCTACCTTAAGGATCCCCGGAGCTGACACTTATTCACTAAAGCAGAGTAGGCACCTGCTGACCTGGAAGGCATGCGCCTACTTTGCCTAAATAAATCGGGGGGAGATAGGAGGTAGGCGGAGATGGCGAGGGAGCGCTGATGTGTTTCCAGCTACTCACTGTTCCCTTGTGTTCCCTGCTGTGGTGATGCCAGGAGCCAGAATATGACATTACTCCAACATCAATGAACAGCGTGCCAAGGAGGAGTGAGAAAATGGAAGATTACAGGAACCACTGGACCCCAAGGAGAATATCCCCACTGGACCCCAGGGACAGGACCAACACCAAATCTCCCAAAGGTAGACCTTAAAAAAATAAAACCGCAAGAAATAATATTAATTTGTGAGTGTGTATGTAAGAATGTTTGAGTGTGTGTCTGTCAGTGAGTGTGTGTGTGTGTCTGTGTCTGTGGGTGTTCCAAATCAGTGAGATTGTATATCTGTCAGTGAGTGTGTCTGTGTCAGTGAGTATGTCTGTGTCAGTGAATGTGTCTGTCAGTGAGTATGTATCAAATAAGTGAAATTGTGTCTGTCGGTGAGTGTTTCAAATCAGTGAGATTGTGTGTCTGTCATTGAGTGTGTCTGTGTCAGTGAGTGCGTCTGTGTTAGTGAATGTGTCTGTTAGTGAGTATGTATTAAATCAGTGAAATTGTGTCTATCAGTGAGTGTTTCAAATCAGTGAGATTGTGTCTGTCATTGAGTGTCTCTGTGTGTGTGTGTGTGTGTGTGTGTGTGTGTGTCAATGAGTGTCTCTAATCAGTAAGATTGTGTGTCTGTCATTGAGAGTGTGTGTGTGTGTGTCTGTCAGTGTGATATCAGTGAGTATGTGACTGTCAGTGAGTGTGTCTGTTAGTCTGTCAAATCAGTGAGTGTGTGCGTCTTGTCAGTGAAAGTATGTCTGATTATAAAATGGGCGGGGCTAGTAGATGGAGAGGTGGAGTTGTTGCCATAGAAACATGCATGTCTGGACTAGACATTTGCATAGGGGAGGGGTTGGTAAGGGTGACCAGGCCCACCTGGGGGCGCCAAAACTAATTCTGCACACAGGCGTCTGTGACCCTAGGATCAGTCCTGGACAAACTGTTTGTATGATGAAATCTGAGATAATGAAATTCTTGTGCAGCAGCGAAGCTTATTGGTTTAGAGCGGTAAGCTGATGCCCTAAGTAAATCAGTAGCTTGCCATTTATATAAAGGTACTGACTGGCTTAGATTGTCAGGTTTCCATCTAAGCCAATCGGAACCACAGCACCCCTACCCGTGCCTTCCATTATCTAAAATTTAAGATAGCAGGACAGGGGAGGGCAGAGCAATCTAACATGGCAACGCAGACTATGGGGTAAAACTGTTTGTGCCAGGGACCTCAGAGCACTATAACATCTTAGTTTAGATGAAGTTGTTATGGTGCCCAAACTGGTCCATTACTAAGTGGGGGCTTAAAGTGTGCCTTTAAGAGTTTTAAACCAAACATTTGTATCTCTGGGTTGGAACTCCCCGATATAACTACGAGAGGCATGGCACACCTCCCCAATGACAATGAGGCTTAATTAGCAGAGCATGCGCATCATAATAGGACATGACAGTGGGTTCCTATATTCTATTAAAGCTCTAGACTAGACTCTCTCTCTCTGTTGTATTGTGAATGGTTAACAAGTGAGGACCATATATTTATATTGATTTTTAGGAAAAATTATGCATTTATTAGCAATTCTGACAGCACAATGTATAGATTAAAGGATCACTATAGTGTCAAGAAAACATACTCGTTTTCCTGACACTATGGCATTCTTATGCCCCCCTCTACCCTTGGCGCTGAAGGGGTTAAAACCTCTGTCTTCTCTGAAACTATGTTTACATGTGAAGGGTTAAAACCTGGGGGACCTGGCACCCAGGCCACTTCATTGAGCTGGTCTGGGTGACTATAGTGTCCCTTTAAATTCTCCCTTCTAGCACTTAATAAAGTTGAGTAACACTACCTAATAATGAAAAACATAATTTCATGGCACAAAGAGAAATCATCAAGAATAAAAAAAAAAAAAATACAAATAAGATATGTCTTAAAATGAAATAATTTATTATAATATTGTCTATTCCATACAAAAATGCGGTATCCACCTTAGTAAATTGCACGAGTATACACGCAAGCCTAGTCTATAAGCAGCCGCCAGCATTTTCTGGTCACTTAGTGACCGCATTCTAGAACACCGAGCGCACGCGTTTTCAGACGCGAAAATCTGCGCGTGCGCGCGAGTCGGCAGGCGCGCGCGCAAATCTCGCTTCTAACACGCATGTGCCACCGCCTGAATCCTTCTGAGCATGCGCGGCACGTCCAAGGCATCCTTGCAGACTGTGTGCATCCCATCACTGAGGACCAGAATCAGATTAAAATATTGGGATTCCTTCTCGCGAATTCTGACCGTTAGCAAGCAGGATGGGAGACCAAAAGGTGATACTTTGTAATTATAACATTGTATCTCTTTGTATTCCAGTTCAACTTGTATTTGGGATTTCATGCATTTATCCACTGCTGTACTTTTGTCTCATAGGAAGAGTTAAGGAAAATTATCACCACCCTGGCTTTAAAAAATGAGGAGACTCACAATTTTATCTACAGTCTGAAACAGATGTTAGAGAATGTGGAGGTAAGGTACCATCAACCATCACTATGTCTGTTACCCCATTGTACAGCGCTACAGAATCTGATGGCGCTATATAAATAATGTAATAATAATAATAATACCCTCCCCAGTGTTCTTTACTGTAAATTGACCTGAGGTTTCTCATACAGAATAATTCTACTAGAGCCCAGACTGAATTAGAAGGAGAATTTCAGTCCCTGTACAGCCTGTTGGATGAGCTGAAAGAGGGTATGTTGATGAAGATCAAACAGGAGCGTGCGAGCCGGACATATGAACTTCAGGTAGAAAAACTGTTTATCTTCTTCACATACCTGTATTTTATATATAGATAGATATTCGTTCATGTCTGCGTGGGATCAAGTGGGCGTTCTATGTCCGAGATGTGGATGATTTGTGAGTGTGGTGCATGTATATTTGTGTGTTTGCAAATTATGAAGTGTTTTCATTCTATATGTAATAGAACATTGCTTCTTGTAAGATTTTACAGCATAAATTTGTGCAGACATAAGCAGGACTGTACACCTTTAACAGTGGCATGATCAAACCTACTTTGCGTGAATAATAGGAATTATATAATTAATTAAAGGGACATTCTAAGCAGCATAACCACTACAGCCTGTTCTGGTGGTTGCCTGGATTGTGATTGTGCCTTCTCAGTGTAAGCAGTCGAGGCGTTTTAAGAATGGTTTGACAACTTTCCTGACATCTGCCGGTTGCTTTTTCCCTGGCGCCCAGAAGTTCCTGCAATAGGATTCCATTAATTCCCCCAGACATGAGGGCTGGCAAATTGGCTAATGGTCTCAGCTGAGCCTTCTCAACCAACTAAGTCTGCCATGATCAGTGATGTATTTTGGATTTGTGTTGCCCCAGACATGACTAGACTCGGGTACCCCCTAATCTTAATTTGCCGCACCTCTTCCTGTTTAAATCAGCATGCACTTTATTGACTGACAGATACACAGTCATGGGCACACACACTGTTTAACTAACACACACTTTCACTGACACACACACTCACTGACAGGCACACATTCTCAGATACACATACACTGACATATACTCACTGACAGACACACACATTCGCTGATCTGACACACACATCTTCACTGATTTGACACACTCTGATAGACACACACATTCACTCATAGACAGACACAGATGCACACTGACAGCTACACACTCACTGACAGACACATGGGCGGGACCACGTAGTGGAGCTGGCGAGGGAGCTGTAATTTACTTGCTCTGCTCCCTCGTACGCCGCTTAAAGATGCCGGGATGGTGTCATATTCCAGCTCCCGGCATCACAGGGAGGGCTCGCCGAGCGCCCCAGATGGGGCCCTGAAGTGGCCAGCTGGCCAGTTCTTGAGCCCCTCATGAAACAAGGCTAACAGGGCATTTGGGGCGGCATTTCTTGCCACCACATGGAAAGTGTGCCTTGTTAGCCTCGTGGAAAATACAGCCAGAGAGATAGTTTTAATTGAACAATCCAATGCAACCTTTCTTTTTTCTCTTGGTAGACTATTACAATTACCTCCAAACAGGACTGTTGATTCCAATCCCTTTTCTCTAATTTATAACCTTAATCCCGAACACCTTACCTGTAAATTCAAAACTTAATGTCACTCATTTAGAACTACTGTTCTTGTATGAAGGTTAATGGGCAGGAGTATAATTAGCAAGTATCCAAATATTTATCCATATATTAATTTTCTGACACATGAATGAATGTCACCCATGTGTACTATACAAACTATGCATAAACCATTAATAATCTACTAATGAGTCACGGTTCTTAAGTGCATTTTTGGAAATGTTGTTCATAATATAAAACAGAATGATATGTAAAAAAGAAAACGTTTTTGAACCCTTTGCGATTACTATGATTTGTGTATTGATTACTATACTATAAGACAAGGCTAGGGACTAATGAAAGTATTTAGAAAATTGGGCAGACTAGATGGGCCGAATGGTTCTTATCTGCCATCACATTCTATGTTTCTATGTTCTAATAAAAAAAATAATTCTCTGTCTGTCATAATTATGACACAGGTTGACTGAACTGATAACACACAAACAGAATTACTTTTCAAAATTTTATTGAAGATATTGAGTAGTGTAGTAACTTGTAGATCCTCCGTTGGAAGCAATCACCTCCACCAAACATTTCCTGATGCTGCTTGTAAGACCTGCACAACACTGAGGATGGGTTATGGACCATACCTTCCTAGAAATGTGTTTCAGTTCATCAATACTCTTGGGTTGTCTTGATTCCACAGTCCTCTTCAGGTCATGCCTCCACATCTCAAATGGAATGAGGTCCGGACTCTGACTTAAGGCAGCAAGAAAGATTTCCAGGCACTCAAAGTGTGAAATCCGCAGGCAGATTGTCAGGAAACTGACAGGGATCCAATACGCAGAGTGCGCACAGAAGGAGGTACGTATACCGGACCTTAGAATGGCCGGACTAACGTAAGGACAAAGCAAGAATAGTCAAAAGGTAAGCCGAGGTCAAGGGAGCCGGAGGACAGGTAAGCGAGATACAAGCCGAGTCAAAGGAGAGGAGAGGACAACAGGACAAAAGGCAAGCAAGGGTCAAAACCGGAAACACTAGATAAAGAACGCGCTGAGTGACTAGCAAGCTAGAACCACGACAGGGCAATGAGCAGTAGTAAAGGTTTCCTTTAAATACCCTGTTACCTAAATAGAGACCACGCCCCCAAAAGGTCCGGAATAGCGGTTCCCGGCACTTTATGCAAATGCCGACGTCATGACGTCGACGCTAGCCGTCGCGTCATAAAAGGGGGAGGAGCTAGCGCGGCCGGCGCGAAAACGGCCGGAATATGCCGAAATGCTAGGGGAAGGGAGCCCCTAAGCAGAGAGGATGTCCTCCCTGGATACATCACCAACAGGTACCCTGACAGTACCCCCCCTTCTAGAAACGCCCACCGGGCGGATGGGACCTGGCTTAGAAGGAAAACGAACGTGGAAGGCCCGTAGAAGACGAGGAGCATGCACGTCTATACCAGGAACCCAAGACCTCTCTTCTGGACCATAACCTTTCCAGTCTATGAGGTATTGCAGCTTCCCCCTAGAAATACGAGAATCAAGGATGGACTTGATGATATATTCCTCCTGACCATCCACACGGACCGAGGATGGAGGAGCAGAGCGGGAGGAAAATCTGTTACAAACAAGAGGTTTCAATAAAGACACATGAAAAGAGTTAGGGATGCGTAGAGTAGGAGGTAGATCCAGCAAATAAGAAACCGGGTTGATCCTCCTCAGTACCCTGTAAGGACCAATGTAACGAGGAGCAAACTTCAAGGAAGGAACTTTCAGGCGAATGTGTCTGGTACACAACCAGACCCTATCCCCCGGAGAAAAAATAGGAGCAGGACGTCTACGCCTATCAGCATGTGACTTAAACACCGCGGAACTACGTTCAAGAATTTGTCGAGTCTGATCCCACAACTTTCTCAGGTTGGCTATATGAATATCAACCGACGGTATACCCTGGGAAGGAGACACCGACGGAAGAACAGTAGGGTTAAAGCCATAGTTCAAGAAAAAGGGGCTATTATGAGTGGAACCACAAACAAGGTTGTTGTGAGCAAACTCCGCCCAAGGAATCAGACCGACCCAGTCATCCTGGTGTTCAGAAACAAAACAACGTAGATATTGCTCAATTTTTTGGTTAGTGCGTTCGGCTGCTCCGTTAGATTGAGGATGATAGGCCGAAGAAAAATTCAGTTTGATGCCCAACTGTGAACAGAAGGATCTCCAAAAACGGGAAATAAATTGGGAACCCCTGTCTGACACAATCTCATTGGGAATACCATGTAAACGGAAAATTTCTCTAGCAAATATCACGGCCAGTTCGGGGGAGGACGGAAGTTTAGGCAAGGGAACGAAATGAGCCATTTTAGTAAACCTGTCAAGGACCGTGAGTATAACTGTATGCCTATTGGAAGCTGGTAGATCAACAATAAAATCCATAGCCAAGCAAGCCCAAGGTTTGTTGGGAACGACTAAGGGCTGCAATAAACCACAAGGGAGATCCCGCGGAAGTTTATTCCTGACACAAACATTGCAAGCCTTGACAAAGTCTTCCACATCCCTACGTAAACCGGGCCACCAGAAGTCTTTTGAGATCAGGCAGTAAGTTTTGTGGATGCCGGGGTGACCAGCGATCTTGCTATCGTGGAAACAGCGAATAATGTCCACTTGGAATTTGGGAGACACGAACAAGCGGCCCACAGGAGTACGTTCGGGAGCAAGAGATTGTTCGTTCTGAATATCAGCGAGCAATGGAGAGTGTATTTTGACATTGGTGTTGGCGATAATATTGACTTCAGGAATAATAGGGAACAAAGTATCCTCTGTAGAGGTGGTAGGTTCGTGCTGACGTGACAAAGCGTCTGCCTTAGTGTTCTTAGAACCAGGCCTGTAAGTAAGCACATAATTAAAGTGTGTAAGGAACATAGACCAACGTGCCTGCCTGGCAGATAATCTTTTGGCCTCCCCATATACGATAAATTTTTGTGGTCAGTCAAGATAGTAACTGGGAGGACGGTGCCCTCTAACAAATGTCTCCATTCCTTTAATGCCATAATGATAGCTAAAAGTTCTCTATCACCAATGTCATATCTCCTTTCAGTGTGTGACAGTTTCTTGGAAAAAAAACCGCAAGGGTGCAGCGGCTTATCTAAACTTTGTCTTTGGGATAACACTGCGCCTATCCCTGTTTCAGACGCATCAACTTCAAGTAAAAAGGGTAGAGAGGTATCAGGATGAACTAATACAGGTGCTGAGGCAAAAGACTGTTTGAGCGTTTCAAAAGCAGATAAAGCCTCAGTAGACCAGGTTTTGGTATCGGCTCCTTGTTTGGTCATATTAGTGATAGGAGCGATAACAGAGATCTGGCCGCATTACTCTTCCTCCCTGGGGGGTCAAAGGTTCTTCTAAAAGCCGTGACAAACGCAGTGTAGTTGTAGACTAAAGGATTGTCATTCTCCCAAAGGGGATTGGCCCATCTAAGTGCTTTATCTATTAGCAGGGTTATAATAAAGCCTACCTTAGCCCTGTCAGTGGGGTAAGCCCGGGGTTGTAGTTCGAAATGTATACTTATCTGGTTTAAAAAACCACGACAAGCATCAGGCGAACCCCCATATCGTAATGGTGACGTGACATGGGAAGATGCGCCTACAGTGGCTACTTCCAAACCAGTACTTAGCGAGTGGCTAGCAGTGGAACGTATTTCTTCAGACTGGGTACTGGAGCGTGTCAACAAAGTTTGTAACGCTAAAGCCATTTGGTCCATTCTATGGTCCATGGCCTCAAATCTGGGGTCAGGAGGACTAGCACCTGCAGGATCCATCATGGCCCTGTCGTAATGTCAGGAAACTGACAGGGATCCAATACGCAGAGTGCGCACAGAAGGAGGTACGTATACCGGACCTTAGAATGGCCGGACTAACGTAAGGACAAAGCAAGAATAGTCAAAAGGTAAGCCGAGGTCAAGGGAGCCGGAGGACAGGTAAGCGAGATACAATCCGAGTCAAAGGAGAGGAGAGGACAACAGGACAAAAGGCAAGCAAGGGTCAAAACCGGAAACACTAGATAAAGAACGCGCTGAGTGACTAGCAAGCTAGAACCACGACAGGGCAATGAGCAGTAGTAAAGGTTTCCTTTAAATACCCTGTTACCTAAATAGAGACCACGCCCCCAAAAGGTCCGGAATAGCGGTTCCCGGCACTTTATGCAAATGCCGACGTCATGACGTCGACGCTAGCCGTCGCGTCATAAAAGGGGGAGGAGCTAGCGCGGCCGGCGCGAAAACGGCCGAAATATGCCGAAATGCTAGGGGAAGGGAGCCCCTAAGCAGAGAGGATGTCCTCCCTGGATACATCACCAACAGGTACCCTGACACAGATTTATTGAGAACAAGAAAAGACAGGAACGTTTCGACCTACCAGGAGGTCTTTTTCAAGCTTGAGATCAAAAAAAGACAGCAATGTTTCGACCTACCAGGAGGTCTTTTTCAAGCTTGAAAAATACCTCCTGGTAGGTCAAAACATTGCTGTCTTTTTTTGTTCTCAATAAATCTGCCTGCTGCTTTCACACTTTGAGTGCCTGGGAATCTTTCTTGCTGCCTTAACGTGTTGGGATTGCTGGTCCTGTTCCGGAGCACCTGTGGCCGCTGGGAGTGAGTGCGGTTCCTGTGATCAATTTTGCTATATAGGACTCTGACTTAGTCATTTGAAAACCCGGGTTGTCTTCCATTTCAGCCATTCTTTAGTTGATTTACTTGTGTGCTTTGGGTCATTGTCTTGTTACATCAAACATCTCGTATGCTTGAGATCCTAGAATCCTGCCCTAAAATTTTCCTGTAAAATGTCTTGATACACTTTTTAGATCATTGTTCCCTCGATGATTGCAACGCATCCAGACCCTGAGGTGGCAAAGCAGACCCTTAAACCATGATGCTCACTCCTCCATGTTTTACATTTGGGATGAGATTGTGGTGTTGGTGTGCAGTGCCCTGTTTACGCCACATACAGCGTTGTGCATTTTTGTCAATAGTTAAATTTTTGTCTCACCTGTCTACAGCACATTTTCCCAGAAGCATTGTGAGACATCTAGGTGGTTTTGGACCACGTTGATAGGTACCGCAATGTCCTTCCATAAACCCCATTCTTTTTCAGTCTTTTCCTAATGGTGTACATATCAACGAAGACACTACTGGGGAGGGTATCAACAGTCATTAATGTTCTCCATTTGTAGACATTTTGTCTTCCTGTGAATTGACAAAACAAAGGTTTTTAAGCAATGAATGTCTATAATGTGTCTTCTAAGGTCCTGTGAAAGTTGTTGGGGTCTACTCTTGGTTCACTCTGGAGAAGAACAGATTGTCAGTAACCACCACAGTTCTACATTGATACCCTAGGCAGATGTATCTAGCATGTTTGTGCAGCCCATAAGATGAATTTCACAGGAAAAAACAAACTTTCACGTTCTTGCATTTAGTACGTCTTTGGTTTTGGCACATTGCAGAGATATGAAATGGAGCTGATAATATTACAAGTGCTCTCTGAACCTACTGAATTAGTCAAGTTTTATTTCTTCATTTGAAGCAATCCATGACAATCTGTGATCACTGACTTTCTTCTCTTCATCCATAGAATCAGCTGACGGCGTGCAGCAAAGCCCTTGAGAGCTCAGAGGAACTCTTGGAGACTGCTAACCACACACTGGCAGCCTGTGTAACTGATGGCTTTTCTCAGGTGACTTATGGAACATAATTATTGTCAATGGAGAAAAAAAATAACAAACTGTAGAATTTCTTCGTACATTTATAGTTTATAGTGATGTCCTGAACGGTTCGCCACGAACGGTTCGCCGTGGACTCCAGTCAGCAGACACATTCCAGCCAATCAGCAGCAGACCCTCCCTCCCAGACCCTCCCACCTCCTGGACAGCATCCATTTTACATTCATTGTGAAGCTGCATTCTTAGTGAGCTGTCCAGGAGGTGGGAGGGTCCTGGATCCCTTATCTCCTAAATTTATCATACTGACACACCGTGTAGAGGTGCTAATTGTTATAGTATATAACAAATTGCTCCATATAGTGTTATTTTATTATTGTCATTTATATGGATGTTGTCATTTTTTGTGAAAATGGTGTATATTTTCATAAATACCAAAATATAGATAGATGGTGTATAACATTTATAGATTGACTATATAGAAGTCTTGGTTGCCTGTTACTCCCTACGTAGGGAATGACAGGCAACCAATTTGAATGTCACTTTTTCTTGTTTGCTTTGTGTGATCCACTATACATACATTTATAAGATTGCTACAGAATCATCGTATACTGGAGGGGAAAGAGGAGAATTTAAAGTGGTTATGCATTTGTTTTAAAATTTAAGCACTGTTTTTTTTGTTTTGTTTTTTTAAATCTTTATGTTTCTTGGCAGCTTCAAATACAGAGAATGCAACTCTTCACAAGTCAAATCAAATATAAATCGACGTATTCAACTAAATTAAGCTCATCAATCGCATTTCTAACATAAATGAATAGAGAACAAAAAAATGGTGATGAAACATTTTATATCATGGGGAGGAAAAAAAGAAATACATAAACATTTTTAAAAAGGGAGGAAAAAGGAGAGAGTTGGGCACGGGAGAAGAGAGCCTGAATATCCATTTATCCCTAACTATCCCTAACAGTCTCCCTACTTTATCCCTCTTCTCTTCCTACTACTAACTCAAAATAAAACTCACTCAATATCTCCCTACTCTGACCCCTAGACATCCCTACTCTAACCCCTACCCTAACCCTAATCTATCCTAATCTCGTTTAGAGCATAGTGGGGAAAAGCGGGAGTGAGGGGGGAACGGTAGGAAATCGAAAGGAGAGAAAGAGAAAATATATATATTTAAAAAAGGAAAAAGAGAAAAAATACATAAAAATATATACGTCTCTCTCTCTCTCCTCCCCTTCCGAAACCATCAAAACACAGAATAATTTTGCGAGTGCATTCTCATCTCCAATACATTTCTAAAGCCAGTGTATTTTAATCCTACACCATTTTATTTACAATCACATAATAACTTAACAGAAGAATACAATCTAAAAAAGGAAAAAGAGAAACAACCGATAATGGTGTAGAATTATAAACACCATAAAAGCGCTGGATTAAAATGCACTCACAGAATAGTCGTTAATCGCAGGCATATAAATGATTATAGGTGTAAGGAGTTTTTTGTATTTCTTTTTGTTTTGTTTTTTTGGTATTATATTTGGCTATTCAGCTGTTTGTTCCCACCAAGAGGCTTCTATTTCATTCCTTCTGGTTTGGACTACATCACTGTTATATGCTGAATTCTACTGAACGTCTTGTGAGTGTAACCTTAATAAATTTTATATTTTTTATTTTATTGGTGCACTATGTCCGTGTCTCTCTCTTAAATCCCTCTAAGGACAAAGGAGAAGAGGATTGAACTCCTTACATCTATAATCATTTATATGCCTGCGTTTAACGACTATTCTGTGAGTGCATTTTAATCCAGCGCTTTTATGGTGTTTATAATTCTACACCATTATTGGTTGTTTCTCTTTTTCATTTTTTAGATTGTATTTTTCTGTATATTTATCTAAAAGAGGACCAAGGGATCTTCTTACAGTCTATTTTTCCTCATTAGGGTAAATCATATTTTATATATTTTTTACCACTGGGGTGTGCACGTGTGTTATATTTATATATACATAATAACTTGAGAAAGAAAGAAAGAAAAAGGGGAATAGAAAGAGAAGATAATACCCCGATATCTAATAACTATCCCTGCTCATGCTTACATTTAAATTCAAAAATCCGTTTCCATTTCCATCCCAACCTCTGCACTGTTTTTATCTTTTATGATCTGACATTTCTTTGCAGAGTTTGAAATTTTAGTATAGCTGAAATATATGCCATTATTGTACATTACATTGTGTGCAGTGTGTATGCGTGTAGCAAAAACTTGTTAAATCGTACAATAGTTCTCAAAGTTATACCAACATATTACATTGCATTATCCTGTAGATCTGGGATTTTAAGGTACACTTTAGTCACCAGAACAACTACAGCTTATTGTATTTGTTCTGGTGAGTATAATCATTCAAAGAAAATGTAGTATTTACATTACAGCCTAGGGACAACTCCACTGATCATTCCTCAGAAAGCTACTAGAGGTGCTTCCTGGGACAGTGCTGCACAGTGTGACTGACATCCCTCTGCATGGAGACACTGAACTTTCCTTATAGAGATGCAGTGATTAAGTGCATCTCTATGAGGAGATGCTGATTGGCCTGTGCTGGCTCTGCCCCTGATCAGCCTCCTTGACAGTCTCAGCAAATCCATTGCTTTCCTACGGTAAAGCATTGTGATTGGCTTTGATCAGCTCTTCTGATGATGTCAGCCAAGCAGGCAGTTCAGGGGCAGAGCCAGCACCAGCAGACTGGAGTAAATATTAGATTTTACTATATTAAGGGGGTGGTGTAGCGGGCAGGGGGGGCTAGATGGTGTTTTTAACACTATAGAGTCAGGAATGCATGTTTGAAATTAAAGGAACACTATAGGTTCAGGAACACAAATATATTTTATTGACTTTATAAAGCACTATATGCCAGATAAAGTGGATCTGTCTGTAATATTTATGTTAAAAAAGGTTATATTTATACACAGAATAGAAGAATGATCTATTATCTACAAATCTGAGCCTGTTGATAGGGAAGCAGAAGGGTTGGGTTAATCTTTCTTTACATTCCTAAAATCTTGGTTTGTTTGAAATTAATCTAAGCACCATAACTACTACAGCTTTTTTTTTTAATATAGACCCTACATGTTCTGTTTTTTTGTGATTTTTTTTCTACACTTTGATGGATTTGGTTCGGATAATAGATAAGTAGACATTTCAGCCTTTGGTTGTTTGTTTTTTTGTTTGGTTTTGTTTTAAGAGTCAAACCATCCAGAGGGAGGGCATGGCCAAAAATCTGTAGTGGTTATAGTGCCTAGAGTTTCCCTTTAACTACCATAACTGATACCCAGGCATTAAAAGTGGCTTTTGCTGAACTGTGTATGTTAATCAAGGTTTCTCCTTTCTTGTTTTTTCTCTCTGTGCAAATTTGCTTCCAAGGCTGCCAAGCAAATAAAGGATAGGTACTGTAACTTTCGGCATTAATATAGATTAGGGAGAGCCAGAAAAGCATTGTGGCTAATTCAACTTACCATGTTAATTGTTCTATCAATCCATTGCATTAACCTTCACCTGTGCTGTTATTTGGTTGTTTTTGTGCTTTTCCTCTGCCCATTTATCTTGTTTATTCACACATTGCCATTTTTGTGTCCCATTGTTAACCGTATGAGTTCATAACATTAGTTTTGACAAAAATAGTATGTATTGTGTTAGACTTGCTAGCTGATGCACAGAAAAAATGAGATATCACATCTCCCCGTGTTTTTTGTTTTTATTTTTCTGGGGAAAAGTGGTACACGTGCTGTAATCCTGTCATTCTCCACGTGAACAATACTTTAACCTATTTACTACAAACAAAAACAAATTAGCCTTTACATGGTGCAAACTACTCCAAATAACATACTATGTGCCAGACTAGTTCTAAGTTAAATTATCCTTTTTCTCTGTATGTCCGCATTTTCCAGCAAATCTCTCAGTAAATATATATAGGTTTTTGTGTACATCACCTTTTTAGTTTTTATTTTATTTACTATTTTGTACCTACCTCCATCTATATTTTGAATGCCATTCACAATAAAACCTACAGGTATATTGACTATTTTATGTTATCCATTTTTTTCCAATCATTCCCACCCTCGTTACCTTAACTTTGTTTTTTCATTCATTATGCACTTCATGTTCTTCATCTACAGCATCACCATGGCCCCGGCATTTCGTCTTTCCCTGAAGGCCAAAGTTACTGATAATATGAGTCACTTAATGGTGGATTTCACTCAGGAGAGGCGTCTGCTTCAAAATCTACGTTTCCTTCCCGGTAATGTTTTCTACGTGTTGTCAATCCCCAATGTATGTGATTAACTGTTACTCTTTTCGTTGTTGTCATTTAAATTCTAATTCTTTGTCGGATACTAGAATTCTGCAGAGGGACTCTCTGGTCTGTCTGTATGAGACATTTGCTCGTTGTCCTAGAAAACGTTTTGAAGGTGTATGGTACTAAATGTCTTTATCAGATTCACACACTTTCTTTTTAGAATACTTCCACAAATTAAAGCAGCACTGTCACTGTGTATCTTATAAAGATTGTAAAAACCAAAGAAAAAAAGTTACATGCGCTCTTCCCAAATCCCTATGTATATTGAAACAAATGGAGGTTATTTAGTTACTACAATGACCATTAGAGGGATGCCCACCTGCCACGTCAAGGCAAACCTCTCAGGTGGGTCCTACACTGACTATTCACCTTGCTTCCTTCAGCTCCTGGCAAAGAAATCTCTAATGAGACAGAGAGGGGTATTTTTATAAACCCCTACATGCTTATTAATCCTTAATAGGGAACGCATCTTATAAAGATAGAATCTTTATGAAATACTTGTATTGAGTGTGTTGAAATTTCACTGAAATTCCAACACAGTAAATAGATATACTGAGACAAATTAAGTACTGCCTTGTCTCTGTATATTTCCTCCGCCTGACACTGAGCAGAACTACCGCCATATACAGTTGCAAGAAAAAGTATGTGAACCCTTTGGAATGATATGGATTTCTGCACAAATTGGTCATAAAATGTGATCTGATCATCATCTAAGTCACAACAATAGACATAATCACAGTCTGCTTAAACTAATAACACACAAAGAATGAAATGTTGCCATGTTTTTATTGAACACACCATGTAAACATTCACAGTGCAGGTGGAAAAAGTATGTGAACCCTTGGATTTAATAACTGGTTGAACCTCCTTTGGCAGCAATAACTTCAACCAAACGTTTCCTGTAGTTGCAGATCATATGTGCACAATGGTCAGGAGTAATTCTTGACCATTCCTCTTTACAGAACTGTTTCAATTCAGCAATATTCTTGGGATGTCTGGTGTGAATCGCTTTCTTGAGGTCATGCCACAGCATCTCAATCGGGTTGAGGTCAGGACTCTGACTGGGCCACTTCAGAAGGCGTATTTTCTTCTGTTTAAGCCATTCTGTTGTTGATTTACTTCTATGCTTTGGGTCATTGTCCTGTTGCAACACCCATCTTCTGTTGAGCTTCAGCTGGTAGATAGATGGCCTTAAGTTCTCCTGCAAAATGTCTTGATAAACTTGGGAATTCATTTTTCCTTCGATGATAGCAATCCGTCCAGGCCCTGTTGCAGCAAAGCAGCCCCAAACCATGATGCCCCCACCACCATACTTCACAGTTGAGATGGGGTTTTGATGTTGGTGTGCTGTGCCTTTTTTTCACCACACATAGTGTTGTGTGTTTCTTCCAAACAACTCAACTTTGGTTTCATCTGTCCACAGATGATTTTGCCAGAAATGCTGTGGAACATCCAGGTGCTCTTGTGCAAACTGTAAACATGCAGCAATGTTTTGTTTGGACAGCAGTGGCTTCCTCTGTGGTATCCTCCCATGAAATCCATTCTTGTTTAGTGTTTTACGTATTGTAGATTCGCTAACAGGGATGTTAGCATTTGCCAGTGACTTTTGTAAGTCTTCAGCTGACACTCTAGGATTCTTCTTCACCTCATTGAGCAGTCTGTGCTGTGCTCTTGCAGTCATCTTTACAGGATGGCCACTCCTAGGGAGAGTAGCAGCAGTGCTGAACTTTCTCCATTTATAGACAATTTGTCTTACCGTGGACTGATGAACAGCAAGGCTTTTGGAGATACTTTTATAACCCTTTCCAGCTTTATGCAAGTCAACAATTCTTAATCGTAGGTCTTCTGAGAGCTCTTTTGTGCAAGGCATCATTCACATCAGGCAATGCTTCTTGTGAAAAGCAAACCCAGAACTGGTGTGTTTTTTATAGGGCAGGGCAGCTGTAACCAACACCTCCAATCTCATCTCATTGATTGGACTCCAGTTGGCTGACATCTCACTCCAATTAGCTCTTGGAGATGTCATTAGTCTAGGGGTTCACATACTTTTTCCACCTGCACTGTGAATGTTTATATGGTGTGTTCAATAAAAACATGGCAACATTTCATTCTTTGTGTGTTATTAGTTTAAGCAGACTGTGATTGTCTATTGTTGTGACTTAGATGATGATCAGATCACATTTTATGACCAATTTGTGCAGAAATCCATATCACTCCAAAGGGTTCACATACTTTTTCTTGCAACTGTAGAAGTGTCAATCCCCCCAAGCCACCACCAGGGAATTGACTCTGTGGAGGGTCTTGCAGGATCTTCCATAGACCTCAGTGCTGTACTCTTGTGCATGCAGTGATGTCTGCTTTTGCTGCTGAAAGACCAGTAGCTGAAGAGGACTGGCCAGAAGAAGATGTCCATTTTTTTTTTATAAACACTGCATCTTCCAGCTTTAATCATCTGTCTTTTCCCAACTCTCCCATTTACCTTTCACCATTATTGTTTTATCTTCTCAGTGCCCAGCACTCCAGAGATTGTTGCACCAGAGTGCCTTGTCGCAGATAACTGCGTTCACTTGGTCTGGAGAATGCCTGAGGAAGAGGAGTGCGGAATACAGCATTACCTTCTAGAATATCGTAAAACTAACTTTGCCGGACCGGCCCGTCCTAAGGAGGAACAGCCATGGATGGTGGTTGAAGGCATACAGACAACTGAATACACACTGTCTTGTGAGCAAATTAACAAATGTTAATGTTTTGGGGTGTGTGAGAGTTAGTCAGGATTACCTGTCCGTAAAATTGAGATTCTAGTGATATGAAATTACATTTTAGAGATGAATAGGTGACATAAAGACTATTTTAGAATTTCTTTGTATATAAAAATTGAAAAAATAAATTTAGGGCAGTTTTACAGAACAAAATGAATTTTTAATCTCTGTGACATTTATTATGGTGGCCTTATTGTAGCCTTTTTTGAAATCCAACGGGTTTTTCTTACAGGTCAACGATTCGACATGAAATATATGAACTTCAGGGTCAAAGCCTGTAACAAAGCTGTGAGTGGGGACTTTTCAGAAGTTGTCACACTGGAAACTCCAGGTATGCTGGGACATAGTTTAGGGGGAAAGTTCTTGATGTTAAACACTGAACAAGGGTAGTTACGGAGGCAATTGCACAGCTTAAAATTCCCAACCACCTTCTACGACAGAGAAACTGGAAAGTGAGTTATGGGAATTTATTATTACCCAGGGGTCGGTGGCCAGATGTAGCTGCTGGATAGGAGAGAAGCTGGTGGGGATTCTGGAAGTCAGAACTGGAGTCTCTGCTAGCGATGTGAAGAATAGCCACATTCTGTTACAGGGAAGCTCAGCTACCAAGGAGTTTATGTTGGTATGATGTTTGACTTACCATCCATCTGAGTGAGCTTCTCCAGTAATGTGCTTGTCTGTAATTCGCAGCCAGCTCTGTGTGGCCCACACTAGAAATCAGGATGAGAACCTTACATTTTGATAAACATAACAAAATGGGGGTCGGGGGTGAGGGACTCATAAAAACACCCTCCAAAACTAAAAAAAAAAGATGAAGTATAGAGACTTTATCACTAGGTGAAAAGAAAGGAATGACGGGGAGATGAAGAATTTGAGGAATTGAGACAGTATCACTTAAAGGGTCACTCTAGATGCCTTACGCACTTTAGCTTGCTGACATGCATAATGTGTGAAGATGCTATCCTCATTTACATCTCCCTTTGCTGTCAATCAGACAACCAGTCCTGTTACTTCCTGGTTATTTAGCTCAGTGTAGCTAAACAAGTAGGTGATTGGACAGCAACAGAAAGTCTGGGCGTGCTAGAAGTGGAGGGCTTGCAAAGGCTAAAAAGGGATCTGCAGCTTTTGCAAACTGTTTTTAGATATACAGACTGCCCTCACTTACCGGCCGGGTTTGTTCTTACGACCCAGTCATAAAACGAATTGGGGAATTCCCCACGAACATAGACCAGTTAACTAGTGCATGGAATCCTATGAATCTATGTTCGGGGAAACTTCGTACATAGACCAGCTCTCTCTAACGTGTGGAATCCCTCGAATAGAGTGGTCGCAAGTGCGAGCTATCAGAAAACAAGTAGGTCGTTAAGTGAGGACCACCTGTACTTCAATAAAAAAAATGCATGTATATTTTCATTGGGGTATATCTACTAAGCACTGTTTTTAATTTTTTTTATTTTGGCATTGGAATTACCCTATAAAGAAAAGGAGAGTGTAAAAGGGAGAAAGAGGTTCAGTGATATATCCTTTGCCAGTTGGAGGAAGGTGATTAAACATGGGAAGGGCCACACATACATACACTTATGCATTCGTGTACACGAACCCCTGTTTTATTGGACATATACAGTCACCCTTTATTCACAAACACACATATACAGAATTCACAAACACACATATACAGAATTCACAAACGTATTGACTACCCATGCTATGGAAATGTGAATCGAGATGTTAGTGTATTTTGTGTCTAGTAACTTTTAATTATGACTGGTAGGTTGTCTTGACATTGTGAGCCCTGTATTTGCATTCATGTGAATAAATAATATGATTTATTTGGCCTGCACTGTAACATTTTGTTGTAAGGAGTTTTTTCTCCTATGGTGTCTGTTTTTCTTCTTTGTTCTCTTTGGCTTCAACCTGTATTTGTTTGTTTTTCTCTTTGCAAATTCAATATTTGCATTTTTTACTTTTGTTGTTCTTTTCTACTATGACACTTTACATCTCCTATTACACCCTCTGCTCCCTACCAGCTTTCTGGTTTCGTTTGGATTCTGGAAGCTCTCATCAAAACCTAAAAGTTGAGGACGCGAGTGTAGAATGGGATGCCTTGGGTGGCAAAGTTCAGGAAGTAAAGAATCGAGAGAAAGAGGGAAAGGGGAGGAGTGCCTCACCGTGCAATTCACCTGCCAGGTAAAGTCATGCAACTTATTTTTTTAAACTCTTGAAACGTCTGGCATTTATCAACAAGCATTTTCAGCAATCTAACAGTTTTGTTGTGTCTATACTATAACCTGGTATAGGTGCGTCCAATCTCCAAAAAGAACATCATCTCTCCGCGGAGGCAGAGACCGATTCACAGCGGAATCCTACACCGTATTAGGTAGGCATTCTGTGTTTTCAAGTGACTATTCCTCAGTAAGCTGTATTTTGTGTTTATCAGGGTGAATACAGCAGATGTGGCACATAGACATTTACTTCCACTTCACTGTCCCATGATGCCTCAGACATACTCATGCAGACTTGAGCATCTAATTCTATACCAGCCCTGCGCCGTTGGCAATTCCACCATCAGTACCATACAGCCTGTGTATATGGCACTGCAAGCGAAAAATTCATTTACGTAATTTGCCTGGTGTTACATGTCAATGTTTGTCAAATAATGAATCTATTAAACAAATAAAAATATAGAACATCTAATTGTAAAAATCTATTAAAAACTAGAGCATCCATATAATGTTTTGTTAGCTATATGGCTCTGCTGAAATTGGAGAACTGACAGTTACTCTTTAATTCATGATAGTTCTGGATTTATAACCATAATTTTGGTTTTATTGGCCTTTGTTTTCTCTCTGCAGGTGACTGTTTGATAGATGATGGAGAGTGTTATTGGGAAGTCCGCTTTGACCTGGACAGTAAGGCCTTTGCAGTGGGAGCGACATACCGCAATTTAGGAAAATTTGACCAGCTGGGAAAGACGTCCGCCTCTTGGTGCCTTCATCTCAATAACTGGCTGCAGGTGGCATTTACCGCTAAACATGGGAACAAGGCGAAAGTGCTGGATGTTACAGTTCCAAATAGGATCGGGGTGTATTGCAACTACCAGGAGGGTTAGTGGAATCAGTCAATACCTTTCATTCAGATCAGTGCCTTTTAACAGGGAGAAGGGGTCACCAGTACATAATACAAATAAAAATAAAAATAAGAGCAGGTAGTACAGTAGATGTGGGTTGAATGAAGACAAGGTTGAGATCGTTATTTGCTTTCTCACATTTTCTATTTGTTCTTTTGTTCGTATAAACTTTTTTCCATGCTTCTATTTTTTTGCCACGTATCCGACTGTCTTTCCTTTGACTTACTCTGCCCAGTGGTTTGTTTCTAACCGGCCATGCGGTGTATCTGGCTTTCTAGTGTATCTCACAAAGGAAGCATTGCTACATTCTAGATCACTAGATTGACATTGAATAGGATTCCCTCTTTGGTTCCTTATTTGAATGTATCCATCTAGTGACACTACTCGTCAATGGGATTGTCCACCCTCTGGCCTGGAAGTACAGTCTCTTCTCTTCCTCATTCAGCTCTGTCAGTAATTCCGTTCCAGAACCCCAAAAATTGCCTGTCTTCTAGATATGTTTAATGGCAGGATCACACTTTTTATTTTGTTAGTGGTGTGGTGTGGTGACATTTTTTTTTAGGGCAATTTCATTGTTTTTCTATTTTGTTAATGCCTGTTGCTGCTTCATGCAGTCATGATAGTGCTGTGATAGGTGCTTAGCATTCCTACTCCACTTCCAGAATGGGCTGACCATCCTGGTTGCCTCCGGCTGTATGATAAGATCTCTCTCTAGAGTTTTTTTGGTTTTTTTTCCAAAACAATTTCAGTTTTCAAATCAGAATTCTCAAGTGGGAACATTCCTCGCTTTGAATCCTGTGACCTTGCCACAATGAAAGAAAGCATATGGGCTTTTCATGTAGATCTAAAAACGATTCAACATACTAAATTACATCAGAATGTTAGGGTAATTGTACTTAAACATAAATCTACATTAATCGTTATCAGTTTTAAGTGCACTGAGTGATAACTACGCAAATGTGCATGTTGTAAATGCATATGTAATTGCTTTGGTTATTTCAATATAATTGTTAGTGCGTAATCTCTTTTGACGTTTGCACAAAGCATGCACACTGGCCAGATTCATCTGATTGTTTATCCCTAGTGAACATTTTGCCCGGTCACTAAATAGAAAGTGTGAGAGGCAATCTTCTTGTTATCAAATAGTAGTTTATTGAAGTTCTATTTCATACAAATCAATGACAAACAATTGAATTCAAATGTCCAACAGATAAATCAGTCATACATGTAAGATCATCAGAATGTATGTAGTGTCATAGAATTACATAGGATGACTGTGTGAGTCATTAAAAATAATCCTCGTTATTAATATGATTAACACACACTTGTGAATGTCCCTTATTACCCCAATTGGGTCAACAGCAAAAACTGATGTGAGAAAAGCTGAACTTGATGGCCGAAAGTCTTTTTTCAGCCCATGTAACATTTTGATAAAAGGAAGCTTTTTTTTTGGTTTTTGACCTCACTGTATAACAGTTTATTAAATTTTTTTTTATTTTTTTTTTAAGGTATATTATCTTTCTATAACGCTACCAACAAGCAGTTGCTGCACACCTTTCGGACAAAGTTCACACAACCTCTTCTGCCAGCATTTATGGTATGACACTGCTACTTTTTTTTTTTTTATTAATTCAAGGCTTGTATTTATTTGTGTTAATTTTAGCAACCATTCATTAGACTTTAAAATACATAATACAAAGATATGTCTCCCGTTCTACAAATACGTTTAGGGGATTCAATTTAAAATACCTTGCTTCCTTCTCAGGTTTGGTGTGGCAATTTCTCTGTGTATACTGGACTCCAGGTCCCCAGTTGCGTGAGAAGCCTTCAGAAACGCAACAGCACTACAAGCAGTTCTACAACAAGTCTTTCCTGACTCTCGGTTTTAGACAGTGACCACCCAAATTGATCTAGACACCATCTACTCACTACATGCTTCTATCAGTATTTATTTATGCTTTTAAATACTCTACAGGGGCTTGAATGTAATGGACTCCTATTACGAGACTGTTACTAATATTTCCAATGCAAACACCCTCGATATCCTTTTCTTTATTTCCATACAGAGCATAACAGGTGGCGAGTGCTTTCTGCTAACGATGCAGTTTTTGGCCTTAAAATAATTGTTTAAATGTAATGTATCCTCACTAAAGGAACTGTGTGAAATGACGCGGCTTTCTCACGATAAAGCACTTTTTCCCCCCTAGAGTTCTGTTGTCAGTATTTTGTTGCGGATTATCACCCACAATGCACTTCACTTGTTTCTTCTGAATAAAAAGTGCATCACTTCCTCACACGCACTGTCTCGATATGACTCTGGGACGCCTTTCATGGGATATCAGCCAATACAGATTCTAATATTTGATATTATATTAATCGAATAGAACAGTTTGGATGCAACTAGTTTTTGCATGGTGCATGCAGAATTAAAAAGCATGCGCCCAAAACATTTAGCAACACTGTGAAGCTCACTATTTGCCTCAAATTTGAGATGATCATTCGACCATTGCTCTTCTCAACTGCAGCTTCCTTTTCAACTCCTCGTCCAGACCTGAGTAGAGTACAGAAACGGTTTGAGAAAACTGAAGCCGACACCAGCAGAGTTATTCAGTAAAGTGACAATTGTTGGGAATTTTTAATCTAAAGGCCAAAATAGCTGAATTAGAAAACATCTCCAAATCAGCTATGCTTCCTGTTTGGCTATTTGGTAAATTAAATACACTTTGAACCCAAGACAATTCTCACTTTAGTGTATAACCCTCTTGGGCTGTTCTACACAATAGAGTTTGAGAAAAAGCTTGAGGTTGAGTGGGTTAATAGGGTGAAGAGAAGTGTTATTGTGCTATGGGGTGAGAACAATATAAGGGGCTTTGATAAGTGCTAGTTTAGCTGTTCTAATTTCTATAGTTTATGGTGGTTTTATTATCAGAACACTTATTAGTGGTGGTGGTGGTTGTTTTCTTAATGTAATTTGTGTTAAAAATAAGTAACAAACTAAATGCAAGAATATTGGTTGGGTTTTTCCACCCAGCTAGTGAATATTGGTGATATTTCTCACATTGTGTACCTGGTTTGGACCATTTTCTCTTCTTTCATAGTTACTGCTTGAGTCCCTGGTTACTCAAGTTACATTGGTGCATATGTAACGGTTTGCAAAAAAAAAAGAAAAAAGCAGAGAGAGATCTCAACTCTGGCCTCCAGCTGTTAATAGCTTACAGCACCCATAATGCTTTGAACTTTATAATGGCCAGAGAACCATGGGAGCTGTAGGTCATGAACATCTGTGGGACTGATTCTTCAAATTCTGCAAACATTATTGTTAAGATACAGAAAATATCCTATTGGCATTATTCTATATGCTTCCCCTCCCCCCCAAATAAATGTTCAAAGAGCATTTTAAAAGCAGTTTTACATGCCTCAATCCAGCTCCGGGCAAAGCTGCTTGGCACGCCACGTCTGACGTCACTGGATCTGTGCCGAGGACCAATCAAAGGCTTTTCATAAAGAATCTTTTGATTGGAGAATTTAAAGGGCTTGGCATCCGCGCACTCGGAGGTGGGAAAGGGAGGCAGGGCGCGGATTCAAAAATAAAAAATTACGGATGCTATTGAGAGGTAGGAGGGCTTCCCTCTGTGTGAGTGGAATGGCGGGAGGGAGGTAAGACAAGAGAAGTAGTCATGGTGGTTGGGTTAACCTTTAAAAAATAACTTATAGAAAATAGTCACTTCATTATTAAAACAAAGTTAAATGTATCTTATGCAATGGCATTTATTACATATACTTATTTATGTTGACTACATCTCTCTGTAAGCCTCTGTATTTAATGAGCACTCAGTAGAGGAACTCCACTTGGGGAATTTGATGGGATGATTCAAAGAGAGATTTCAGCTGATTAGGCACCACGCAGCGTTTCACCCTCGTGATAAATCCTAGATAAGTTAAATTAAAAATGTTTACATTTATATATATATTTCCTTTTCTTACATATCTTGGATTAGCAAGTTTACACAACTGCTGTTAATCTGCCAGTTATTGTTCACAGGTTTAAAATGTAACTATTTTTAATTTTTATTTATTTTAAGGAACACAGTTATTAAGCGGTTAGAGAACATGCCTTATTTTTTATATGTATTGCTAATACTGTAGTATGACTTGTATTTTGTTACTATGTTTGTGGTTGTTTTGTATTGTAAGGTGCAAAATTTAACATTACATCTTTTATTTAAAGCGGCACTGTCATCAGGGGACTTTGACGAAATCCCCTGACAGGTAAGGGTGAGATTAGTTACCTGAACCTGTACGTCGCAGACGCCGCCATCTTGCCCTCTCTGGTCCTCTTCAACTCCAGGAACCAACGTCACTGCTGTACTCATGTGCATAGAGCATTGGTCTAAGGAGGATCCCGTGAGACTGGGATCCCACACAGACACAGTTAATTCCCTGCAGCCATCACTGGTGACGGTTGTTGGGATTGACTACTAGACTCAGATATTAATCTACGAATGTCCGGTGGAGGAGAAATACAGAGACAAAGTAGACCCTACTCTGTCTCAGTAAATCTCTTTACTGGGTTGGAATTTCAATGAAATTCCAACACAGTCAAAATAGGTATTTCAAAAAGATTCAATTTTTATGAAATACTCATTTGTTGGGGAGGAGAGGTTGACAGTGCCACTTTAATTAACATACAGTCATTTGTTTTAAAGGACCACTATAGTGCCAGGAAAACATACTTGTTTTCCTGGCACTATAGTGTTAATAGGTCCCCCCCCCCCACCCTCATGACCCCCCTCCCGCCGGGCTCTAGGAGGAGGAAGGGGTTAAATGCTTACCTTTCTCCAGCGCCGGGCTCCCTCGGCGCTAGGGACTCTCCTCCGCGCGCATTCAATCAGTCCATAGGAAAGCATTTCTTAATGCTTTCCTATGGACGGCAGCGTCTTCTCACTGTGAAAATCACAGCGCCTCAATGAGACAGCCACTAGAGGCTGGATTAACCCAAATGTGAAACTGCTAGTTTAAAACTAGAGGGACCTGGGTGCCTATAGTGGTCCTTTAAGTAGTTTTTTTTTTCCACCCATACAGCACAAAAACTTACTAAACAGACATTTAAAATAAAAAGGGGAGTAACTACAGGCTAGGGAGCCCTTTTTATTTTTCAAATGATTAAAATTGTGCAGAGAATGTATTTTCTATACAATTCCTTGGAAATGGGGATCTGCTGATTCTGAAGAGACTACGATGTGGGGTATTTTTTTAGCTTTTTTATATTATTTACTCTTATGAATAAGAAGCTGTCTGTAGTTAAGTGCACATGCTGGTGTATTCTTGTCGATAATTAACCTTACACAGATAGGATAAAGGCACTATACATATTCTACAAAAAAAAAAAAATCTAAATCCTTGTTTGTATGGTGATTTATTAAACACATCCCAGAATCTTACATGCCCTGACTTTCTCTTTAACTTTCCTAATTTAAGATTGATGTTGGGTGGATTTTACTGGTAAGGTTTATAAAAAATGAGGTATGTATGGTACAGTTGAAGTGTAGTTGCTGTGATTGCAGAATCAGAGGAGATAGGACAAGTAATGAGAAGATATTTGGGCAGAATGAAAAAAGGTACAAATATCAGTTCAGTTGAGGACAGTCATCAGAATAACACATAGGGTGTGAAATGTGTAGAGATATTTACCTGAGTTTAAGCTGGGTGCTCCATGCCTTGCCCCTTCAGGTCCTAGTAAAAGAACAAAACATGTTTAATAATTTAACTTCACAGTTTACCAGGTAATAACATCAATAGGTAAATCACGTTTTCTTACATTAACGCTGACAGTTTTTTGTGTGTTGTAGAAACTAAAACTACTTAGATGAGAGAAGGATTAGTAACTTTTGATGCCCTTGTAGATGTAGCTAAATAAATTCCCTCACCACTTTTTTAAGTTCACTTATATATATTGCACCTATATAACGCAGCTACTAAGCATCCAGAGAAATGTGGTCCCTAGTAATTATAATTAACTTTGTAAAATGTAATAATGATTAATCTTACATCTGCAGATGTTTGTGAATTATATTTCTATGTTTAACTAATATGTTATTGACCCGGAAGGCAAATAGGTTACGAGATAAGGATTGGGATTTAGTTACCGACCAGATCAAGTTCTAAATCTTCAGGGGTAGACAACTTTCGACACCAGATGTTATGCACTACATCTCCCATAATGCCCTTACAGTTGTAATGGCGGCAAAGCATCAGGGGAAATGTAGTCCAACACATCTGAAGTGCAGAAGGTTGCCTACCCCTCCTCTAGTTTGTGCTTTGTCTTGATGTTCCACTTCACAATGCTTTAAAAATGGAATGTACGTTAATACATTGAGTTACAAGGGCTTCAAACCCTGTCTTGTTTGGTTTAGCGAAGCTATTATAAGCTAGGAATTATTGTTCCTAAATAATAAAGGAACAGAATCCAAAGATAAGAGTTTGAGCTATGGACGTCTGAGAAGAACATTCATCTTCAAGACACCTGTCCTACCCAGTCATGTGATATTCACAATGGTTCAGTTCGTGCTCCTAAGTGAGATTAGTCTACAGCTCGTACACACTAAGGCATTCTCATCACTTCTTCGGTATTACTGCAATGTGTGTCTTGAGTATACTTTTCAATGTTTGGTCAAAGAGCACACCGACGGCTTGCCACATTTATTGCCATTTTCATAGAAGGTATTAGTAAGCTTAGAGGTGGAGCAGGGGTGGACCTCTCTAATGTGATGGCGGTAGGGGAGCGGAAACCAAGGTAGGTGGCTACAGGTTCCCTTCAAACTTTCATATTTTGTTGCCTAATTAGATTCGTTTGCAAGGTGTGTATGTGGTTGTTTGTTTTGGACTGTGATCTTCTTACCTTTGTATTTGTTGACAGGTTGGAGAGGGATATGAACTCTCCTTGTGGTCATTTCAGGGGCTAAGGGAGAGAAAGTAGATAGCAATGCAGCTTACAAAACAAGAAAATATTGTGTATTGGAGAAAAAACACAAAACCAAATGCATGTCTGATAAAGCTAACAACGTGTGATTTAAAACAATTCACAAATGGCCCAAAAGCTATTACATGGGAATATATGCTAAAGTGAGTATTCGAAGTGAATTTCAATTTTGAGATCAAAATTAACCAAACTGGATTTAAACAAAAATCAAGTTAGCTATGCTTTCAGATGGCTACTCTGGCCTTACATTTGAAATTCACTTTGAATTAAGTAACCCTGACAGTATTTGCTTTTGTTCACTTTCATAGAGACCACGTTAAAGTGTTACTCGGAGCACCATGGCCACATCAGTGATTTAAAGTAGTCATGGTTTCTGGACTTTATATGAAGTGTCATAGGAGCATCATTAGCCAGCCTGTGTCTAGAGTTCCGGGCTGGCTAATGTCAATTCTATGCATATTTTTTTATACAGTGTGCCATTCATTGCGTCAGAACGATCAGCCAGTGAATGGTGACTGGATTGTCTTCTGCATCTCTGCAGAAACCGGAAGCACGTCAGCTGACAAGCATGGAGCCTTGGAGCAGGCTGTCGTGGTTAGGATGCTTTGAGTAACCTGTTAAATATTAAGAAATCTCTTTGAAGTAAAATTATTGTGTGTGTCTTTAACTCTAGTTAACTAGATTACCTTGTCTAATCATTTCCTGTGCTGTATACCCATCATTTGGATTCTCATACGTTTCTTGAGGTATGGGTTCACGTGGAAGGGGAGGAGGAACATTGCCCTTGTTCGATATCCGAGTGGTACCTGATAATGGACAGACGCATTGTTAAAGATATATATTGGTTCAGGCCAGATACCAAACTGCAGAGAATATGAATCTTCAACAAATGTAGATATTGCTTGTCATTATGTAGACATTAGAAATGAAAACACAGCATTAACTCAAAACATCCATAGATTTGCAATTGTTGAGGAAAATGTTTTAAGTTAGACCAACTTGAATACAAGTGACTGAATTTAAAGGACCACTATAGGCACCCAGACCACTTCAGCTCCATGAAGTGGTCTGGGTGCCAGGTCCATCTAGTGTTAACTCTGCAGCTGTAAACATAGCAGTTTAGTTCTCAGAGAAACTACTATGTTTACAATATGGTTAATCCAGCCTCTAGTGGCTGTCTCATTGACAGCCGCTACAGGCACTCCTGCGTTTTTCACTGTGATAATCACAGTGAGAAGACGCTGACATCCATAGGAATGCATTGAGAAATGCTTTCCTATGGACTGATTGAATGTGCATTCAGCGCTGAAGTCGGAAGAGGGAGGAGAGTTGCCTGGCGCTGGAGAAAGGTAAGCGTTTAACCACTTCAGCCCAGCGGTAGAGGTACCCTGAGGGTGGGGGGCAACTTAAAGACCCTACAGTGCTAGAAAAACGAGTTTGTTTTCCTGGCACTATAGTGGTCCTTTAAGTTAAATCTTAATATCGTTCATCATAACCGCTATAAAACATCTGCCAGTATAAGAAGAATTATGTCTCCCAATAAAATGTTGTGACCTCCTCATTAGGGAGTTGTCAAATGCTTCCCTCTGTGCATCCAACCAATGTGGGTATTTATTAAATACATTCAATAGAAGACTTTATTGTAACATGTTAAAAATGCAAAGTCAGGAGACCACTCTCCATCATGGACACCTACACCATCTAACTCGTTTTGTGTGGTAAATCCACATTTACTCATAGTGTTACCCCATTCAGAAAATGGAGCGACAAATTATATTTTGCTAAAATATGACCATCTTGGCTAAACACATTTTAGCCACTCACCCTATTAGAGGACCAACAGTTCCTTTAAACCTACTGTATTATATTGTCATCGTATTTAAGCCTTAGTACACCATTATGGTAATATGCCCACACGCCATTTTGTAAAAGAAAAAAAAGAAACAGTCAAATTTATAAAGTTTAGTCATATATCGATGTTTCTGCTGAATATATTTAGCATTGTTATTGCATTTAACAGCTGAATTACGACAGATTTATATATTTACTGGAAATAATCATTTCTGCTATTGAAATTAAATGTATTTTCTTAAAAGTGTTAAAGTGTGCCTGTCATGACAAACATGATTTAGTGGCACATTATAGTGTGTGTCTAGTTAGACAGGCAGACAGACAGAAAGGAACATAATGATGCCAACCTGATGTTTCTGTTGGATATCGGACTGTGGCTACTCCATCTTCACCGTCTACTTCAAGAACTCCTGCAGTATGCCAAAAAAATAATATTAATATGTGTATATTTTTATTGTTAAGTCTGGTGTTCTAACAAACCTAAAACAGATTAAGTTCAAATCTTAATATACATATAAATCCTCAGGAGTAACAGGGCCCATTATCGTTAAATATAGTACCTGATTAAAAGGATAGGAAACATAACACAGTACAGGGAAAAATACAGAAGTAAGTCCAGAATTTTAACCAGGGCTTCCCAAACAACCAATTTGCTGTAGTCAAAAAGAGAAGTTAATTTACTCATCATTCTTCAAAAATATTTGTATAGACAGAAAGAGAGGCTGTACATTATGAGTATGCGGCCCTGAATCGCCGTAAATCCTGTTGGTGTAACCATAGTAACACAACCTGGAGGGAGTTCAACCAGAGCTTCCATTTGATGTAACCATACCACCCAAAACTAAGATTTATGCAATGGGGACAGGTGTGGCAATTTGCGTCACTAGCTATGCAAAATTAGGGTGGGGCCACCGACAGGAAGGACATGTCAGTGTGCCATCAATGCACGCCATGCTGACTGTCATCATTCCAACTTGCATCACTTGGGGCAGACCATCAGCCCTCGGTACAGTACAAGCATGTCTATAATATACATTGCTGCCGCCCAGGAGTAATGGGAGTTTGAGCGCAGGACTAGTTTCTTTGTATGTGTAATATATAGTTCTGTCCTTTTTGAGAGAGTTTCCTGTACACCAAGAAACAAAACTAGGATGGCAAAACAAGACCCCAAAAATCTGGGGTGTCCCTTCTAAATCCGGACAGTTGAGGGGCCTGCATGACCAGTATAATAAACTGTTATGGTAGCTGACATCTACATTTAACTTTGCAGAGGTTACAAAACAGGCTCCAGTGGAGTGAGACAACCCACCAATGGGCTTCTAGCAGAAAATGCTAAAAAAAATAAAATAAAAAAATAGGCAAAAATATGTACAGCAGCACATTCTACCACCAGCAGGGAAAATTATGGTAAATACCCTAGCACAGGGGGGCCCAAAAGGTCGGTCCCCAGATGTTTTGAAACTACAGCTTCCATTCCATGATGTGTTGTCATTCTAGAGACATGCAAAGCATCATGGACGTTGTAGTCCTACAACATCTGGGGTTCTACCTATTAAGCACCCCTGCCTTAGGACTTGTTACATGTACTTTTTTTAAACCAAGATTCAGCCACAGAGCGGGTATACAGATACATACCGATTTTGTTCTCATATTCATTGGCTTTCTCAAAAGGGATCAACAGATTTTTTGTGGTTTTCCTAAAATGATTGACAACCTGAGCAAGCGAAGGACAAGTAACCTGCAAGAACACAAGATAAAATAATATTCAAGTAAGATAGTAGAAAATGTACATCATGACATAAATGTACACAAAACTTTTACAGAAATAGAGCCAACTTTGACAAAAAATGGGGCTCACCCTGGCCCTCATTTAACACCCCTTCTTTAGATGTTTGATAATACAGAATGTATAAGCAATATATATACATAGTCATGGAAAAAGAACATACACCCTTTTTGAGTTCTATGGTTTTACATATCAGGACATAATAACAATCATCTGATCCTTAGCCGGTCTTAAAATTAGGTAACTGCAACCACATGGCTTCTCCATTTTGGCTTTATTTTTGTTAAATAAATCATGAAACGTATAATATGTCATGTGTTGTTGTTCATCAGAGATTGTATTTACATAATTTTAAGAGCTGCTAAGGAACATATGATTGTTATTATATCCTGATATGTAAAACCATAGAATTCAAACAGGGTGTACTTTCTTTTTCCCATGAACATATATATATATACATTTTCTTTTTAATGAGTACCATACATTGCATTTGTAACATTTCACGAAGGAGACATGGAATTAGTAATGAAAATTGTGTCAAGAGAATAGTTACCTCCCCTTCAATTTTTTTGTACAAAAAAACATGCAGAATATTGCAGAATTTATGCTCACACTCCTTGGCCTTATTATGACGATTCTCTATATTGAAAATACTTACCGGTGGTTCCACTTGGATCACATATTTGTTTTGCTCCTGAGTGACTCTATAATGTTTCAAGACAAAGCTTCTGTAATGAAAACAAACACAATCATGATTCAGTGGTACACATGACACATTCCATATGGCTGTATATATAGTGTTAGTTACAATGTTAAGCAGGTAGTAATAAGACCCAATGTCTGTCAAGGTCACCTTCACCCAAAAGTGTCACAAATTCAAGAGGCAAATAGAAGGTTCTCGCAAAATAGAAAGGTTCTCTTGGCTGAAACCTACAACTGACAAAACACTGAATTCCTCGAGGGAGGGGGGCACTGTAGGGCTATAGGTCATCAATATCTGGGGGAAGATGAGGTTAAGGTTATGGGTAATTCTCAGACCCCCTCTGCTGTGGGTTGTCACATCTATATAACTCTCTCTCCATAAGCAATGAGTCTGGCTTTTCCAACAGTGGTATGTCCACTATGCTTTCCTGGACACACATAACTTTTGTAATGCTGCCCTGCATTATGGACAATGCATATGCTGCAGGATTTCTGATTGACTTATCACCTGATTTACTACCTGCAGCATTTGACTTTTACATAATATAGGGCAGCACTTTCTGTATGTTACCCATCAATTTGTACAAATGATATGTGTCCCAGAAAAAATGGCGGATATAGTATTGCAACCGATAAGGAGTGTCCCTTTAACCATACAATCCCTGAATTCTCTGCTGTATAATTACCCAACATTCCGCTGGCAAGTGGTAACAGAAACAGTTTGTGGACTTCCTCCGGGGCGCAGTAACAGGCTTCCGCAGTCTGGAAATTGCTTCAGTAGGGTCTCTGCTTCGGACCGTGACACATTATGAAAACAGCTGTGAATCAAGCAATACGTGGTGTAAATAATTAAATAGGATGCAAGTGCAAAATATATGAGGATAGAGGGCAGTATAGAATCAACAAGTAAAGTCATAATAAGATGGGGCAAACGTGAAAAATAACTATGCAGACCAGGGCCAGTAACCTATGGCACGGGTGCATGCATAGCGCTTGAGGTGTCTTTGCACGGCACTCAAGGCTGCCAGAGTCAAACAGGCTCTGGCCAATCAGGAAACCCAGAGACACTTCAGATATCTGCTGGTGAGAATCGAGTGGTGATTGCAGGTGGTTAAGGATGATTCCTCAATTTACGCATTGCAGCACTCCGAGAAAGTGATGTCAGTTCATTTCCTCCCAGCATTTGTAAAAGGGAATTTGCACTGGAGTAGGGAGATCAGAGCTCCTGCCCTTGACTTGTGTCTGGCCAGCCCAGTCCCCACTGGACCCCACAGAGTTGCAGACAAGATCTCCCACAAGCAGCCTCTCACATGCACACCACCACAACAACACAAAGTGACATATTATCCATACACAATACCACAAGCAGCCCCCATACATAGCCCACATTCATAGGTATCATACACAATACCACAAACATACACAATATAACCCACATACTCACAAATGCAACATTGCAAAGCAACTGGGGCACCTTTAAATAACACAAGCAGAATACGGGAACATCTCAATTTAAAAATAATATGACCGGCAAGATCTTGTTTCAGCACAGAACTACTCTAACCCTGATGTAGACAGTAGACAACGATTGGTGATTTGTTAATGGGGACATTCTTATGAGGATTAACCCAGTTATTCACTAAAGTGAGAATTCAAAGTGAATTTTAAAATGAAGGCCAAAGTAGCTGAAATGGAAACATAGCTGAAAATGTTTCAAGTTCGGCTATTTTTACTTTTAATATGAAATTCACTTTGAATTCTCACATTAGTGACTAACCTGATAGTGTGAGGGCTCATCTCATTTTCTCTTGCTAGCACATTCATCCCAACCATCTCAGTTTCGGCAAGACAGTCACGATTTTCTGTTCTTGTCCTGCCATCCCAACTATCCCCAAAAAGTGTGGTGCACCATTAGAAGCACTCATGCTACGCTCAGGGCACTAGGACCCTGCAGAGAACACTGTAAAATTGCTCCCTTCAAGTCCTGCCCACAGTGGGCTGGCCTGCTTGATTGGCCACTGATCTGCCAATCATTTTTGTGGACCCACCCCTTTTCCTCATGGATCCGCCCACTTTTGTCCAGAGCCACTGGCCCTATACCCACCTCCCATTGCGTCCTGAGGATGCCAATGTTGGGGGATATGTTACCACAATTAATATTGCTATATCCACCATGTTTTCCAACAATGCATGTCACTTCAACAGATCGATGGCCTGCACATGAAAAGTGTTGCCGTGTGCTATATAGCATTCAGAAGCTGCTGTATCAAATGAAGTAGTTAGTCATTAAAGAATCTTGCAGCATAAACATAATGCATATGGCAGGGCGGCACTTTTCATGCATTAACATGAAATTTTGTAGGTCTTGGAAAACATGGCGGATATGCCAACCTTCTCCGATCTGTCACATTCTCACCTGGGCATCTCCTCTACATCTTCCTGTGACCTTCTCAGCTTTTCCTTCTCAAGAGCTTCCCTTAGGGAAAGAAGGGGTCCTGGGAGCAGAGTCACAGACTGAGGAATATTAAGCTGTGAAAATAGAATGCAAATAATGTTTTCACAATTTCTCTACGTCTAAGAATTTGCAAATTTAGAATAATAATATGAACAGTAATTTCTGGGACTGAAACTGGAAAAGGATAGCGAGACATGTTAGATACAATTTAACCTCAAACATAATGGTCAATTGGTTTAAGCTGAGTGAAGGGAAGACACTGATCAAATTAGTCTTGACGACAAAACAAGAACTTTTTTCAAAATTACCTCTGCCACGGTGATGATATAAGCCCGCCACATCTCCCGACTCTCCAAGGAGTCTGTCTGTAACAGCACATATAATAGTGTGTGTTAAGTATTATCATCATCATTATCATAATTTATATAGTGCCATTATAAAGAATATTTATGATCATTTTATATTTTCATAGTTTTGCATAATTCAGTGTGGCCATCAGATAATGACCTAAATTTCTAAGTCACAAGAACCGCACTGCAAGGGAGAAATGTAAGTAAAATACCTTTTCTAATCCTTGCAGGTGAAGGCAGGACACCTAAACGACCACCAGGGAACTACAGCCTTAGGAAAACACACACTTGTATTCATAATGCCCAGTGTTAATTTTGGTGGCAAATTTCACTTTTGTTTTAGTCATAGCCTTCAACTAGAAAGCCTTTTTAATTTTAGTCGTATTTTAGTCATCTGAATTGTTTTAGTTTTAGTCTAGGTTTAGTTTAGGTTTAAAGCCTATATGTGTCTCTTTTGCCCGTTCCCCAGCCCCTCTGTGTCTCTTTGTGTCCTCCCAGCCCCTCTATGTGTCTCTCTTCTAAGCTCTGGCCTGTCTCTTTTGCCCCTTTCCCAGCCCCTCTGTGTCTCTTTGTGTCCTCCCAGCCCCTCTATGTGTCTCTCTCCTAAGCTCTGGCCTGTCTCTTTTGCCCCTTCCCCAGACCCTCTGTGTCTCTTTGTGTCCTCCCAGCCCCTCTATGTGTCTCTCTCCTAAGCTCTGGCCTGTCTCTTTTGCCCCTTCCCCAGCCCCTCTGTGTCTCTTTGTGTCCTCCCAGCCCCTCTATGTGTCTCTCTCCTAAGCTCTGGCCTGTCTCTTTTGCCCCTTCCCCAGACCCTCTGTGTCTCTTTGTGTCCTCCCAGCCCCTCTAGGTATCTCTCTCCTAAGCTCTGGAATGTCTCTTTTGCCCCTTCCCCAGCCCCTCTGTGCAGTGTTAATTTTGTCGACAATTTCAATTTAGTTTTAGTCATAGTCTTTTGACTAAAAAGCCATTTTAGTTTTAGTCATCTGAATTGTTTTAGTTTTAGATTGCTGATATATGTTTACTGTACAGTGCTAGAGGTATTCCTGGTCTTCTATAAATAGTAATAGCTCTGAACTAATTTTACTCACCTTGAACTGTACCTCCCGACCTGTCATGCATAATGAGAAGAGGTATTCGGAAGGCGAAGTAGTCGGCTCCTTAAAACATATAAAGTTTTCCAAACTGAGACTGTCCACGCACTGCATGGAGCAAAAGACAGGGTTACTCTTAGCACCACAACCAATATCTCTGCTAAATTTTAGTATGACATATTGTGGAAAGGGGAATTTCACAAAAATAAAATCAAAGAAGGACTTATAAATGTCAGAATTATAAAATTTACTCGAAAACATTTTAACAAGATGGATCACAATGTTAATTGGCTAATGGGGGATCTAAGACCAGACCTAGCAAATAATAAAGGTGCCACTGGAGCTTAGAATTTTCAGAACGTACAGATTGTGTTGGTGATAGTCCGACTTTGTCTCATCTTTGTAAAAACAATTAAAATGGAAACTGGGAGGAGGCGTGTTTTATGTTGCCGTCTTCCAAAGGTGTCCCACACATGGCATGATTTTCCCACCACTAACTAGTTATACATGTGCATTCACAGGCTTGTTGCAGAGAATCATGGGATTGTTACATTTGCATTGGGTGCCAGACTATACCAGCATTGTGTTCTTTGCAAATACACATACAGAAAAGAAAGCTACCTAAAAATTAAGAAAAACAAACAAACAAACAAAAAAAAAACAACTAATGCCAAACTTTACGTTAGTTATTAAAATGTGCCATTACTTTTAAACTGATCAATAGAAGAAGGTTTTCTGTCAAGGTACCTACCAAACTGTTCATTAAGTCCAGTGAAATCTTTTTTTCTGTTTACCTACAATTTATTAAGTATTATTTATACTGTTTATAGCTCTTTGAAAGCCATCTCATTGTTTATATATTATCCTAGTTGCTGCAGACAACAATTTAGAACTTGCTCCAAAGTAGTAACTTTTTGGACAACAGGATGTTACTTCTCATTACTTCCCCTTTTTAATATGAGCTTTGACCTGAAGTGCTATCTAGATTAAAGCCGGCGGCAGTTCTCTGTACTGTCACCATTATCACCTTAAATCTCAGTATGGCCTATAAGGGAGCACTCAAAATGAGTTAGTCATTTCCTATAGTTGTCCTGGGTTTACTCTTATAAGCCAGGCTGAAGTTTTTATGGAAGAAAAATAAAGCTTTTGGGTTGCTGTAAATTTTTCAGTTGAGGGTGATTTATAGCATACCCTCAGTGGATCTAGACTTCAGAATTATTTGTACATGCGCAGTCAAGACATTCTAGGCACTAATACAACTTAAGACAACTGTTACTTCAAAACTATTTTTATATAATACTCCTTTCATCAAGTTTTGACAGGAAATATATATAATTTTATATATTTTTTTTAATGAACCAAAAAAATAATACAAATACTAAAAAAAGTCATCCCTACCATTATTATATGACAAGAGCCTTCAGCCATATACATGAAGAGCGTTTGAAAACCGACAGATAGTCTCTATGGTCTTCCCTACTTCTAGGCAGGAAGTGAAGCAGGGAAGACCATAGAGACTAACTGTCGGCTTTAAAACACTGTCCGACCCAAGGTGCATGTTTATGGGTGAATGTTCCTGTCATATACTGAAGGTAGGCATGAGTTTTTCTCTTTTTTTATATATATATACTTCATTTCTTAAACAAATTAAATCTATCTCCTTTCAAATCTTGTGTAGTCCACAACATCTGGAGTGCAAAAGGTTGCCTACCATTGCTTTAGCAGTTTCCAACCTACTTGCTATGTAGGACATGCTGTGTCAGGCCTAAACTTTTCCCAACTCTTCCTTGAGTCCATTTAAATGTAAGTACCACAAGTACCAGTAGAAAGGCATGGAGTAAGGACAGTAGATCAAACTGCACCTTTTCCCTTACCGTTATGCAGTTTGCTGAGCCATAAATCCCTTATTGAGGTCAACCATGCTTCTAACTAGATGTGACCTTCAAATGGCTTCTCTAATGAAGTATCAACTAAGAGGCCCTCAGGCCAAAATTGAACAAACAGAATGGGTTTTGTATTTTTTTTCACATAATTCTCTTCACCAGTTAGCCTCAAGAATGTCCAACCAGCAGGCAAGCACTTTCAAGCAAAATAAATAAACAATCAAGTACTTAGGCACTGTGGGTTTTATGAACTATGAAGGCTGGTTGGGAATAATGGAAAATTGCTAGAAGGTCAAGTATAAAATGTATTTTTAGAAACATATCATGTGAATAAGGTTAGCCAACGCTGGTCTAGCAGATGGCTATATATGTTTATTCTTATAGATATGTGTGGGTTTTACTTCTTATGATTTTTAGCCTTTCCAGAAAATTACATGTAAGAAGGAGTATGGAGAAAGAGAACGCACTGTATAAAAAACCCAGTTGGCGCAGAGTTAAATGTATGGAAGGACAAGTGCTAAAGAGAAAGAATAAAACAATACTGGTATTGCGGTGGAGAGAAAGAAAAGCTGCAATTAGAGAAAGAAGGTAAAAAAGCATGAAAGTGTTGGAGAGAGGTAGAAGGCTAGTTAAAGAATTAAGAATTGTAGTAGTGTTGATTGGAGAGATACAAGGGGCTCGAGGGAAGAATGGATTACAGAGAAGAAGAAGAGGTTTTAAGGTAAATAAAGAAAGTGGGGCTAAAAAGGAATGGGTAACGGAAAAGTGGAAGAGATTTTAAGATGAGAAAAAAAAGATACATACCACGGGTGGGTGGGGAAGAATGGGAAGACAATGAAAAATAGAAGAGTCTGTAGGTATATTTCTGCCCTTTTACAATATTATTCCACCTGGACGGGCACTACTGCACAGCACCCTCTATATTCTAGTAGGACTGGACAGATGGTAGCGCTCCAGATGTTATAAAACTGCAACTTCCATGATGCATTGCCATTCTATAGGCTGGTAAGGCATCGTCACAGTCGAGGTTCTAGAACATCTGGGAATTTACTGTTTGCTCAGCCCTGCCTACGGGTTTGGGTGTCTCATCCTCTTCCCATTCCCTGCGTACAGAGAAATACAGAGGGTCTTAAAATTAATCAAATTGGAAATAGGGGATGGACTAGAAAAAAAAAGGAGAAAAAGCATAGAGTGATGGATAAATAAATAAGAAGGTGTCATAACATTAAGGCAGAATAGAAAATGGTAGTGGGATAGGAAAAAGTAAAAAGGTGATGGTAAACCAATCTTACAAACTCCCATCAGGAACGCCATGAATGCAGGACTAGGACTATCATGGGTTTCATTCGTCATTTTCAGCTATAGAGTTACTGCCGTTGGTTTCCAAGGGATCCAATTGTAAATTGCTTAATATCCAGCCGAGTAACCCCCCCCATCTCCAACTCTCCTCCTTACTTCTTGCTCCCTCTCTCCTTCTGTTCTTATCTTACACGCCAGTGTTGTACGTAGACTCACCTATTGCTGAAATGCCAAAGTCTTATTTGCTTATTTGATATATTACTGCTTTGATATGCCTATGACAGACTTAACATATTGCCATGGCTTGCAGGTAATACTAAAGTTTTCCTGTTCCATTTCGTTGTTACTCCTACGAAGCTATCTGTTTATGGATTATTTATCAATAAACTTCAAATGATTTTAAAAAAAAAAAACTAAATCAGTCTAGTAGACCTTTCTATAAAATGTTGTTCGGTCAGAGTCCCAACTTGTTTATTTTTCACACCACACTGTAAATCACAGCTAGGTGACTAAACATAAATGGGGTGATCTTATTGAAGCAGCCACAGAGGGGATCTTTGCCCTATTATCAAGACCAGGGGTGTAATTTGATATAGTTGCTGATCCCAAAGCAGTCGATAAACCCAATTTAAAAATATTTTAAAATGTGCCTCAAAAAGTTGGTAAAAAAAAAATGATTTTAATACAGATATTGAGAAAATAATTTGTACGTTTGATGCTTTTTTAATATGTGCATAATTAATACTATGAAACCTATAACCTTTTTTTTGTGTGTTCAAGCTAAGAATTTACCTGAAAAGCACATAATATTTAAATTCATAATGACTTTTCATTAAATAATAATTAATAGCATTAATAAGAATGGATAATAATACATCTTAGAAGGTGGCATGCTAGTCAGGTGCATGCGAGCGCCGTACTGGCAGTCAACATTGCCAGCAGGACAACGGGCCTGGACATAGACAGAGCACCAAAGAAGCATTAATGCACGGGCAAAAATGTATTACAGTGGCTTGGGGCGACCAAGAATTTTGGTACACGGGTCCTGAATCTGGACTATGCCCTTAGATACGGACTGTTTCTACCAACCTCAACACGCCAAATTAAATAAAAATAAAACGTGTTTTACCCTCAAATCCTTATGGTTAGAGTAGAAGCAAAGACAATTTCCAAGGAGCCCGACCCAAGTCTTCTTATAAACCTGAAAAAAAAAACAGCTGTATTAAAGAGAGAGAATGCAAAAACAAAATGAAGGAAAAAAAAGAAAAAGCCTTGAAAAATATTGTGATGATGAGAAGAAGGGATGGTAAAAATTTCCCAGCAAAAAGGCAACAAATGCAAACAATAACAGCTTTTTTTTATTATTCATGGGAATTCCCATGGAAATCCCTGAAAAAAAATACCTGACATCCACTCATCGGTGGTTTTTCTTTTCCTTGTATAACAAAAAATACACCGTAACAGGTAATACACAGAATGTTATTTGGCTGCCAAAACATACACTAACTGGCACATTTCACTGTCAGCTGGTATTACTGAGACATCAAGGCGCCACTAGAATTAGCCCACGTAACGATTTCCACATTTATTATTTGCAAACAGTCAGATATTCACTCAAGTTCTGGGTGAGATTTCAAAGAATTTTAAAAGCAAATGTGATGTGCAGTTCGGAAAATTCATATCCATATCAAAATCAGGAATATGTTACAGTATGTTCGACAATGGCGTGGTGAATTAACAGGGTAGTTCACTAATAGGGAAAATGTAGCAAATTAAAATCCAAATGGCAAAATATGAGCCAAATTTTCTTGTTCTGATCATATTATCCGACTCGTTCGATTTGCTAAAATTAAGACATTTGTAATTAAGACGGTGTGAGTTAACAGAACAGACTCCGTAATAGCGAGAGAAGGTTAAGTGGAGGATAAAACCAGAATTGTCATACAGTTAATTTTGTCAAACGACATGTCACTGTAATGTTTTATACCTGTCACATACTAACGCCAAATACCGTACGTAATACGCAATGAAACTTTATCTATCCGTCTCATTGTCAAAACCATATCTTTTACATATGTCAATGTTAAATAACAAATTTAAAATAAAACAGAATTGGCAAACAGGGCTTTCTTACCTTATCGTTTACATCCTTCTTGTAAAGGTATTCCTCAAAGTAATGCTCTGGTGTTGCGTTCTTTATACGAGACATGATCGGTGCCCAAACTGCAGATCAGGTATACAGAGAATAACTTTATTTGAGTTGTAGATAGACGGAGTTACACTTTGGACCTACTGACTTTCACTCTTTCTCTCTCAAATAATAAGTTCTAACCAGGAAGTTGGCAGGCATGCCTAATAAAGGGGTGGAACAGGTTGTCTGCTTGCATTCCATTGTCTATGAATTATGGAGAGGGGTTGACATACCTGAAACCTGTTTTTTGTTTTTTTTCTAACTGTAGTTTCATTCATAGACTGAAATGTATATAACTCATGCTAATGTTGCGCACCAAATAACAGGTATGTGGTTTAGACCTGTTACCCCTGAAACAAAATAATCTAAATGTATTTTATTGTGCAAAGTAACCTTGCAAAATGCATTTCTCCATAATGAATTCTCTGTCAATTTCATCGATCCCGGGCTGTATATTAGGTATAATGATGATACTGCTTGCTATATGTTTCATCGTTTTGTTTAAATTCATATTACATAACAAGTTGTTACACAGTCTAGCACCAATTACAAATATATATGTAGTATTAACATAGTCTGCATCACTATACAATAGCTAACACAAGACAGACAATTATGTCTAACAAAACACATAACAACATTTGCATTGTGAGTATATTACTCCAAGCACTATCACTTTAATTTTTTAATTTTGACACTGTTTTATAAAGGCACACTATAGGCACCCAGACCACTTCAGCTCATTGAAGTGGTCTGGGTGCAGTGTCCCTTTTGCACTTAGTGTTGCAATGTAAAACATTGCAGTTCCAGAGAAACTGCAATGTTTACATTGCAGCTCTAAGTCTGCCCTCAGTGGCTGTCTACCAGACAACCACTGGGGGCGCTTCCTGGATCAAAACGAACCTTTGGTCTGCTATCTGACGCTGGATGTCCTCACTCTGTGCATGAGGACATCCAGCGTCACATTTTTCCCCATAGGAAAGCACTGATTCATCGCGGGACATCCAAGGGGGCTGAGCGGCGACCCAGCGCCGAGGGACATCAGCCCTGGGATAAGGTAATTAAATAAAGAGTTTTTAATCCTTTATTTACCGCGGAGGGAGGCGCGAGGGAAGTGGAGGCAGGGGAGCTATACTGCAGAAATACAGTTTTGTATTCCTGGCACTATAGTATTCCTTTAATAGCTTATCACATTAATTTTGCATTATATATACTCACAATGCTCTTACAATAGAATAATTAAATACACTTTAGCTTTCTTAGCATTATTTAATTTATCTCCCACATTTGGAATTAGTGTAGGACCCACCGATATTGGGGTACTGTGAAGTGGTGGTGGGCGTAACACAATATGGCCATATGGTGGAACTGAAACCGCATATTTATTTGCTGAGATAGGCGATTTTTAATATACTTATAAGATTTTAAAATGTATTTTTATGAGTGCACTGTTCCTTAATCTGTATAACAAAACACGTTGTACATACAGGAACAATAAGTGTATAGGGCCCTGCCCAAACGAGCATACATTCTAAAAACACATTAACTGTTTTCATGGGTTAAAGAGACGCATGTGGAACTCGAACACGTTCTCAGCTAATTAGCTCTGTCTTACATATCTTACATATGTCTTAAATCTTACATATCATGCCTACTATTAATGCATGTACTCTTAATATGTAGCATGTTTTAAGGTCAGGGAAGCTGCACAGATTGACTGGAAAGATTTGAAAAGAACTTGCAATGCGATTAACCTTTGGAAGGGGAAGTACCCAGATAAAATAAAATATTTTACTTCCTGAACCTTTTGTCAACATATTATTAACCTACTATAGGCTGTATACTTAATGAGCCACAACTGTGTAAGACTTTACTTTGTACCCCTGCGATTTAAAAAATGAAGTTGAGGGAAAGGCCATTAGCCTTCTATTATTAATTACTTAAAATACACATTATTACTTTTACCCCCGAGTAAACTTGGGATTTCTATAGACACGATGATGTAATACATAATGAATAAAGCACACCACCCAATCAAATTGACAGAGGGATGCTTTAATTTTAGGGATTTGAGTTGGGATGTAGCCAGGGTTGGGGTTGTTCTGAGACATTTTAGGTGACTTAATAATAACAATTTGTGCAACTAAAATTAAATTTAGAACAAGAAACATGTATCTTATTTACACAGACTGCTTTCTAAACACATTTATTGTAGTTGATTGTAGTTTAAAGACACATTACTGTGAGTATTATTGCTGTGGAGCTCTGTTATACACATATAAAAAGGGACAGAGGCATTTTGGCTCAATATAAGGACTGCTCCTTCTAAATAGGAACACTTGGGAGGAATGGATAAAGTATTGTACGATACAGATTAATAACCTGTACATGAATTGTAAATACAGTCAAACAGCCAGGCAGTTGCATGCCTGAGGAAAAGGGTGGCACAACGGGTGCTACATCAGCATCATACGCAAAAGTATTTAAATTATTAAAATTATTTTGGTTATTACATCATTCAATATTATTGGTAGAAACGTAATCTAGCTTTGATAATGGGAGTTTAAACAGCAGCCGATGAATGCTTCTGGACATTCTCAAATTAATTTGCTCTTTAAAGGTTGCAGAGACAAGGAAGTGATTTTTCTAAGAACAGATAGAAACTTGACCTGTGGCAAGTTCTGAATGAGTATTTTTTTCCTTTTGTATTCCTAAAAACTGAACTATAAAACTGAAATGAGATATTGAATATGTATTCTCTAAAGCCACTAGTCATCTTTCAGCACTGGTTAGACCTCCCTGGGAGGGTGTGGGGGGACACCCTGTGTGCAACAGCATAAAAATATTTTTTCGCAAATATGAAACACCAAAGAAAGGCAAATATAGGAGGAAATACATTTCATTCCCAAAGATGTGTCTGTCACTCACTCGTGGATTCTGACCTTGCTTTTGGTAATCAGGGTCCCAGGTACAAGAGATGCTCATAACTTTAATAAAAGTATGGAGGCAACTAGTAAATCGTGGGGGGAAAAACCAAGAAGGATAACCAATACCCAATGCATCAAACTGGTTAAAATAGCACTCCAAGCAACATTATAGCACTTTGTAGTGGTTATGGTGTCAGGAGTGCCCTGTTATTCTGTCAGCCTTGCAATCGCAGCTGCTTCCCCAATCCGACATGTCACCAGCTTTTGCTATTCCAACCTACCATACCACAGATATATTTCATTTCCATTACATACCCAGTGGCGGATCATGGTGGAGGGGGGGCAACGGGGCAATAGCCGCCCTCCCCCCCCCCGAGATTCTCCCCTGCCGGCTAATGCAGGTCTGGAATTGTCCAAGTGCCAGCCCTGCAATGTGCCTGAGGACCGGGGAGAGAGATCAGATATCTCCCTTCCCGGTCCGCAGGCACTGTGCTGACAGCCGACAGGGGAGGGAGAGAGCCTGATCCGCCAGTGGACAGAGGACCCGGGAGCTCAGTTGGCAGCTCCTCCAGGTCCTACTCTTGCGAGCACGGAGCGTTGCAGCGGTTACCACGGCAGCGCTCCAAATCTCGCAAGAGTGAACTCTAGCCCTGGAGCACGGGCTAGAGTTCACTTCTACCACTGGAACCACCAGGGATTCCCCACCGGACCCCAGGGATTGAGAAATGTCCCCCCCTCCTCCTCAATAAAGGTAAGAAGGGAGGGGGGACATAGAGTATATTCATTTTATTAAATAAAAAAAATATATTAAAAGGCCTCCCTACCCTCTTTCCCCGCATACAAACACTGCCCCCCATACACACACTGCCCCCCATACACACACTACAGACACTGCCCCACAAACACTGCCCCCCATACACACACTACAGACACTGCCCCACAAACACTGCCCCCCATACACATACTACACACATTTCCCCCCAAACACTACCCCCATACACACACTACACACACTGCCCCCATACACATACTACACACACTGCCCCACAAACACTGTCCACCATACACACACTACAGACACTGCCCCACAAACACTGCCCCTATACACACACTGCCCCATACACACACTGCCCCACAAACACTGCCCCCATACAAACACTGCCCCCATACACATACTACACACACTGCCCCATACACACTGCCCCCCATGCACACACTACAGAAACTGCCCCCATGCACACACTACACACACTGCCCCACTTACACTGCCCCGCATACACACACTACAGACACTGTCGCACAAACACTGCCCCAATACACTGTGCCCCATACACACACTACACACACTGCCCAACAAACACTTCCCCCCATACACACACTGCCCCCCATATACACACTGCACACCCATACACACACGACCCCACAAACACTGCCCCCCATACACATACTACACACACTGCCCAACAAACACTGCCCCCATACACATACTACACACACTGCCCTATACACACACTACAGACACTGCCCCACAAACACTGCCCCCATACACACACTGCACACCCATACACACACTACCCCACAAACACTGTCCCCCATGCACACTGCACAGCCAAACACACACTGCCCCTCAAACACTGTCCCCATACACACACTGCACACCCATACACACACTGCCCCACAAACACTGCCCCCCACACACACACTGCACACCCATATACACACTGCACACCCATACACACACTGCACACCCATATACACACTGCACACCCATACACACACTGCACACCCATATACACACTGCCCCGCATACACACACTGCCCCACATACACTGCCCCCATACACACTACACACATTGCCCCACAAACACTGTCCCCCATACACACACTGCAACTCTCACACACACTGCCACACTCACATACATACTGCACCGCTCACACACTCGCACACACTTCACCGCTCACACACACACACACACACTGCACCTTTTACACACACTTCACCCCTAACACATACCACTGCTCCTATGCCCTATATCCCAGCAGACCCCAGTTAAGCTGTCAAACTGTTCTTAAACGGTTTGACTACTTACTCTGGAATGGGATCCTGGCACTACTGGCACCATAACTACTACACTGAGCTGTAGTCGTTATTGTGCCTGGATTATTTCTTTAAATAATCTACAAGTGCCCCTCCCGAGATCAGGCTCTGGATCCGCCACTGTACACACCCCGTCGTTTTCCATAAAAGTCCTCCTCCTCTACAAATCCGGTCCACTTCAATCTCTTCTCTGCTCCATTACCGACTCTCCTTTTACTTCAAAGAACTCTTCTTACCTCAACTACAGATTCCCTTAAACAGTCATAGTTTACACTTTCTATTACAGAATCCCCTCCAAATACTGATCCTTTCCATGCCCGTTTTAAATATTTATAACATAGTTACATAGCTGAAAAGAGAATTAGGTCCATCAAGTTCAGCCTTCCTCATATTTGTTTTTTTCTGTTGATCCAAAGGAAGGCAAAAAAACCCCAGTTTAAAGCACTACCAATTTTGCAACAAAATAGGAAAGAAAATTCATTCTTGGTCCCAGAATGGCAGTCAGATGTATCCTTGAAA